GCTTTATCAAGCTCTAGTGTTCGTGCACTGCACACATACTCTATGGCGTGGGCACAGCGTAGCACGTAAAGCTTTTTAGATAAAAGTGCACCCATACAAGCACACTGTACCACACACACACATGCACACAGTCATTGGCTTCATGTCTATTGCGTTAAATGCAGCACGCCGCACAGTCTGCCACAAATTTTTTTTTTCTAGGGCTATTTATAGGCTTATCTAAAGCGACGGCGGAATTTTCATTGGCTTTTGCTATTGTTTTTGTAAATATTAATTAGTTTGTGTTTTTGATTGCAACAATCAAAACCAACAACAACAACAATAAAGGGGGGAATGCAAACAAATTGGTTCAGTTTTGCGTGTCATGGCGAAATTATCACCAGAATGCCGTGTGTGCTAAGTGTGTGTGTGTGGGAGTGTGAATGTACGTGTAAGTGTGTATGCCGTACATGACGCAGACAGCGTCTGAGTGGGGGCATGGTGAAATTGCAGTGCAGACGCAGATGCCGCCGCCGTCGTCGTGGTCGTTGTCGATAACCTGCGTGGATGACGCATGGCGGCTGTGCGTGTGTGAGAGAGTGTTTAGTTGAGGCATATAGACATATGGCGACAAAGCTGACGTCATTAGGCTGTTGTCGGCTGCGAGCTACCCCCAAAATATGCTGGTCTGCGTTTGCCGCTCGGAGACGACCAAATGGTGGCAACTGCCACTTGGCCCAGTTGCCTCAAACACTTGGCGGCTACAAACTAACAACTAACAGCTACAAGCTAGCAATTACAGTAAACAGCTCGAAGGCAATAGTCAGCAGTTGGCAGTCAACAGCTTCAGCTTCAGCTACCAGCCAGCAGCTACCAGCTGTGCAGCCATCCACAACAGCCACCACGTCCACGTCCACGTTCGCATCCCACGCAGTCAATTAAGAGCGCGCCTTTGGCTATTGGGTTACACACTTCAGCTTGCGCCTGGCCGTTGCCCGTCAGTCAGTCAGTCCGTTAGTCCGTTAGTCCGTCAGACAGCCAGTCAGGCATTCATTGGGCCATTCATTTGGGGTTTTTGTAGTCAGCATTTAAAATTATTTATTAGAAGCAACAGCTCCACCCGCCGACCCCGACGTGCTGCAGCTAGCTGGTCGAGCCGGGGCGTATCAAATGTTTTGCTACGCTGTGCACTGTTTTTGTTTTTATTTGTATGACTGTTGTTATTGTTGTTGCGGTTGTTTAGCTGAGGAGCTCTGTTGGCTTTGGCTTTGGCTTTGGCGTTGGCTCTCGTCTCTGGGTTTTGCCAGTCAAACGAGCCAAGCCGGCCCAGGCGAACGCGTTTCGTTGTCTGGCGCTTGCCGCTTGGCGACAGCAATTTACCTTTAAGCGAATGCGAAAGTATGCGTAAAAAAAGTAGTCAACAACAACAACAGCGACAACCACAAACAGCAACGACAACAAGAACAACACAATTACCCCAAGAGAGCGACTCGCAGAGTCTATAAATAAGCCAAAAGCTAAAAGAAGCGCCATAAATCATAGGAAGACACACGAGTGCCGAGTTATTATGCGATCATATTTTAATTGCCGGATTATTATTATGCTGAGGACTCGGCAATGCGGAGTCGTGTACGGTCAGCATGCCCAACACATACAGCGATACAGGCAATCCCAGTGCCATTCCGAGTCCGAGCTCCAGCTCGTCTGAGCAGCGACTGCAAACTAGACCAAAAGCAAACAAAACACCTGCAGACCGCCTGTCTCTGATCATGTCTATGCTGGGACAGGTGCGTGCACCGAAAAAATAACAACAACAAAAACAAGAAAGTACAATCAAATTTTGATTTGCCGGCGGCTGAATACACTGTACTTGAGATGGAACTTAGGGAATGGCCTGGTAAGCATATCGAGGCTTGACTGATACCAAACTGATTTGTATACTAAATATATTTATATATATTTATATAAAGTGTTCGTTACGCTTGATAATTGATAGAAAACTGTACCTAAATTGTATCAGTTAAACAGGATTTAACTCAATGTAAGGCAATAGCATCAGCCCTTTGGCTAAGTAGGCAATGCTACTCAGTAAAAATTAGTTTGATATCGTTTTATATTCACTGAGGAATACTATGAATAGTAAGCAATATATAATTTGCAGGCAATATATATATTTATATATCATTTTAATCTATCATACTAAACAGACCAATTTCTGTATCTAGTTTTAGCTACAAACATAAATTGGCTTAAAATTTTATACACATGAGCAAGCATCACTTTTTACTTTTAACTATTATATATTAAGCTTTACCCTCCTTAGACCTTCTTCATACTTATGAGCCATATTTAGGCAAATTGCAAATACTCCTTTCATTGTAAGTGTGTTAAAATCTGAAATGCAGTTGCAGTTGCAGTTGCAATGTTGCGCCTGCAACTGAGCAAACGAGTTGGGTTGTTGTATGAGTGTGCGTGTGTGTTGGCTAAACAGGTATGGTTGCATTTTTACCATAAAGCGAACAGCAACAGCAACAGCAACAATAAAAAGCAACACCTAGGCCCAGAGAGCCTGTCCAATTGTCGTTGTCGTCTAAGCTCGGCTGACTGTCATCCAACTCTGCCTACTGTCCAGGCAGCCAATGTGGCCTCCATATAATATATATATATACTATATATATATATACTTATAAAGAGTGTCTGTTCTGGCCAGATATGCCAGCAAATGTCTGCATTCATATTTACTCCATAAGCCATGCTAAACCCCCGCAGGCCACAGTATCCAGTACCCGATGTTGAGTCTGCAGTTCCCAGTTGCCAGTTCCCAGTCGCCAATCCACATACCAAGTCCCATCCCTCACTCTGCCCAGTTTTAAGATATTACTGGTAACTGCGTACGCAGTTATTACCAACATTTCTTTCAGTTTTTTTATTACATTTGTTTGTCTTGATGTCATTTTTCCCCCTTTTCCGTGCTGTAAGTCTCTGGTACTTTGTTGTCTTTAATGAATGCATTGTAATTCCTCAAGTTTTAGTGCAACATTTTAATAAAACTCGCGAGCAGCAGGAAATTGTTATCGTTTGCTTTTTCTTTTGTTATAAAATAAGTAACATATATTGGGTATTTAGTATTGAGTAGAGCTGAAGTAATTGCATTTGAAACGTGATCTTCGCGCACTAATGGGAGATATAGTTGTAGATAGCCAATATGTATATGGGGCATGCTAAATTTGACACATCGTTACTAATGAGATAAACAACATGATTCATGAGTCCGCTACCCATATACGTCTGTCAAACGAACAATACAGTGGAACTGTGATTGAGCTATCGCAATGAATACCTTGTAATTGTGAAATTCAAATGACAGATACCATCTATTAGCGAGGTATTTAGTCGGTTTGCGTAATAGCATGTACTAGTTGAATTAGTGTTGAATTATGGCTCTACTGCTATCAAATTCCTAGCGTGATAAAGTAGCTCTATAAACACTAACTATCAATTTGATTATGGTTCGTACCTTGCACCATGAGTAAACTGAATATTTAAGATTCACACTTGCCAAATTGTCTGAATCGTTTGAAACTGAATCAATTCCAAGATCTCTGCAGAAGATAAAAGGAATTCGCTCTAAGATCTGTTGTGCCATAAATTATATTAATAATATCGCTGAATCAGCATGAAGAAGCTGAAGCACACATGCTACTCACTCTCTCTCTCTCTCTCTCTCTCTCTCTCTAAGGTCTCAAAGGCCCGTTTTTTGTTCAATTTATATACTGAATTTGTTGTTAAGTAATCGTGGAAAATTAGGAAATTCCCACAGACAATTTGAATTTATGAAATAACATTTAGTTCCGTCAAATTTTCAATTAAAAACTATATTTTGATAGAATAGAACAATTAATTAGGTGCCTAACTTAGATTGACTTAAAGGCTTCAGCTTTTCTCAACTATGTCTATCGCCTTTCTATGCGATTTTCATAGACTTTGCTAATTGATTTTAATGTAATTTAGATTATTTAATGACTTTTGTAATACACACTCATCATCATTTGACTCTATATTACTTTATAGTCTCTTAATTTCTCTCATTGCTTGCTTCTAGTCTAACTTTGACACACTTAACTATTAAATATTATCAATCAGTGTGATATGAATTAATGATGTATGTGTAGTTAGGAAATACATATTTTACGATCGATATTTCCCAATGTGATTTTCATTCATAAATCTATTTAATTGTCATTTCATTGTTTCACTAGATCTAGATAGTGGCTTGAGTCTATACAAATTCTACACGTCTTCCACGTATCATTCAGAAACGTTCTCAACTTTACGCTTAACTGACTGCAAATGCGACAATTTGAACAGACCCTAAATGAGAAGAAAAAACCAACTCAACTGTAAATTTCCGCTTTATAAATTAGGTGTACAAAATGCTATGCAGATTTTTTAATTGCTTCAAGTAGGTAAAAGGCAAACATATGTTTGAGTGTTTGAATAATAATAAGTGCTGCTTTGATTCCAGCTCGATTCATTTCACATTTGAGTACACGACGTACATTCATAAAATTCTACAACTGACCGTAGAGTGGGGGCGCCAGCGGGTACAGGACGGGGACATTCTGAGATAGGCCGTTCGTGAGAGCAACCATCATAGGTAGTCAGAGAAACAATGTCTCCCCATCTATCTCTCTCTCTCTCTGTTGGTCTCTACTACGCTCCCGCCGTGTCTCTCGTAAAATGTGATAATAGTATTCAAACAATTAAACAATTTTCGCAAAATGTTGAAACAAGTAAAGAGGCGACGCAGCGGGTTGGAGAGCTGTGCGGGGCAGGGTGCACGCGGCGGGCAGATAGCAAAACGTTTATATGTTCTCATTATAATAAAACAAAATCGCGCACTACACGTACTTATTGTCAGGCAATAACAACAACAGCACAACAATAACAATAACAACAGAAAAGCAAAGCAGAGGAAAAAAAGATTAATTACAAAAGAAAAGTAAAGAAGTAAAGTTTACCCGTAGAATCGACTTCCAGCTGGCGGCGGGAGGCAATCGACTTGACTTTCAGCACAATTGCAGGAACGTAGACGAGGTGGCGGCGGCGGCGGCGATGACGGAGCTGGTGGAGACGGGCTGAAATTGGCGGCGGCGCAGGCAGAATCGAAAATTAATTATGCTTGACATGTTGCCGGACCGAGGAGCAGCAGCAGCAGCAGCCGGAGCAGTAGCGGGAAGAGGTGTCGGAGGATGTGATGGCGCTGCTGCTGGAGGCGGAGTCGTCGTTGTCTAGTAGTTGTTGCTCTTTTTCTGTTATTGTTGTCGATATGAATCGCATTTTTCAATTGCTTTGTGCGGCTGCTCAACAGCTCAACGGCTCAATAGCTCAACTGCTCAACACGTCTATCTACCAACGACTGGTTGGCTTCTATTTCTATTTCTATTTCAATTTCAATTTCAATTTCTTTTTTTTCAGTCGCACTTTTAATAACAAATTTTCTCAAATTTACCTCTCGCGGCTATTAATTAATAGCTAAGACGCCACGTGCCACATACACACACACCTGCGCACGCTCAAAAGTCAGTTCTGGAGGATGTGTTAAATGACAAATTACGCATACGCCACGTTGTGCCGCAGCTGAACTTGCGCCGCGCTGAACTGCGCTGAGCTGCGCTTAGCTTAGCTGCGCGCGCGGGCTAGTTAATTTATTGTCTATTGCTTGTTGTATTTGTTTATTGTTTTTGCCTTAACTCAAATGCAAATGCAATTTATGTAAAACGCAACGCTGGGCGCAGCGGCTGCAATTGCCAATTGCGCGCCAATTTGTTCTTGTGTTTATTTTGTTTTGCTTTGAGGCTTGTTTCAAGCGTATTTCAAAACAAATTTCGCTCACTAAATGCTGCACATTTTATATTTATATTATATTTGTTTTCGTTTTGTTTTTGTTTTTAATATTTAACAATATTATAATATACACACATCAAAAACACGCGATAACAAAGCTCGGCTCAAGCTGTTGCAAGGCAGCGCGGGGGGTAGAGTTCTCTTAATGTCTCTGTCTCTTTTTCTCTCTCTCTCTCTATCTGTCCCTGTCTTTCTCTTTCTCTCAATATTTATATGATAATTATTGTGTTTTATTTTGTTTTGGATTTTTTCTTTGATAATTCAATTGAATTTCATATAAATTTTCCTTTCATCAAATGATCGACGTGCGCGCGTAATTTTTCAACAACTTGGAAACAGTTTTCCTGGCTGCGCAGGCAGTTTTCTTAGCTCAGCAGCAGACGGCTTCGGCGCTTTTCTCCGCAATTCTTTGACCGTTCGCCGGCGCTGTTAAACGAGAACTGAACGCACGAATCGCAGGCGAACCACAAACGGCCAACGACTGCGACGAGAGCACCAGCAAAAGCAACGACACGAGCCGACAAACGAGTCGTGCACGAAGTGCGCCTTCTTATTATTGTTGCTATTGCTGTTGTTGTTGTTGTTGTTGTTGTTGCTGTTGTTATTGTTGTTGTTAACAGCAGCCGTCGCTACGGATTGGTTTTTCCTCTGTTTTGGGGGCTCGAACCGTTAACTAGCGCCAGGCAATTGGCTTGGGGTCAAGTTGAACTATAGATGCCATAGAAACAGCGAGTTTTAGGCTCTGTGCCTTACTATTAATATCATATTTTGTCTGAATATTATTATAATTTAGATACAACGTTGTACGGCAAATAGAGAAAATCATTTTTAAGCAAGGCTTTTTTTATTTTCGAAGGCAATTGCAAATAAAGACAAACATCAAATTATTCTTTGATAAAAAGTAAATTTAAAAACGTAAATTTATTAAATCAATTTTTAACTCAACATTTTATATTTCCTTTTCCTCCGAATATTTTTTATATCAGCTAAAAAACTTTTCAAAGGGCTTTTCTTTTTTTAGTTTTAATAAGTTTAAATGAGCTCAAACAATACTTTCGAGTTGTTATATAAAAAAAGCAGACACATTAAAAATGTATCTTACACATCAAGCCCTGCCATTGGAATAAATTCCTTAGATGTTGGCATGGATGCTGCCTTAAATTAAATCTAGCAACTAGTTAATATCTTCTACTATAGCTCTTATTTGCACACCCAGTATACATTTCAAAATGAGACGAATAATCCTTAACAGGCACTTAACTTGTTTATAGATCGCCTCTCGAATACCCTTCGAATTGTATCACAGATTTCGGGTCGTAAGTTTCGTAACTGACTTTCTATACTGTCCTAAATTACTCTGTCGTGAACTGCTTTTATAGCAGTTCTATGTGAGATTCAATATATATTATTTACAGTTTCAAAACATATTTATTATAGATTATTTACAACAATTATTGCTTCAATATTTACTTTAGAGAACGTTTAAAATTTCCATTAGCTAGTTAAGTAAGTGCCTAATCAGCGTCAATTTTTTTCACAGCTCAAACATGTTTCAGCTTTTGATGCCTTTCAATAATATAATATCTTTGCTTAAATGGAATTTCTGTTCTTTGGTTATTTCAGCCATTCGACATTGGCTGAATTTGTTTTCCTTTTTCGGTAACTTATCAAAGTCCGTTGCGTTGATTTGGTGTTGCTCGAATTGCTTGCTTGAAATTTTTTGGTGCTGCAATCAGCAATTGAAATATAATTTTCAGCATTCCAACAGAGTGCACGATGTGAAATGAACACCTTGTTGAACAGGTGCTACGGCATACAGGTGAATGGCTGGCTCATTTGACAGCCCTCGCTATGCCTGCCCGCCCTCCTCAAACACTGCTGGCTAATAATGTTATCTCTATGCTCAATTTCAGACGCTTCCCGGAATTCTGCGCTGCAAATTAGAGTTTGTCAACTGGCATTTTAATATGCCTCGAGCACTGTTCTGTTTGCTCTGATATTGCAATTGCCAAAGGAAATACCATTCGGAATACCTAACCCAATAATCATGCGCTGCGGCGGCATCACTTTTATGAATGGAACGCGAAATATGCAAGGCCAATTGAAGTTCGCCCAACTATATAGAGATATCTCCGTGATCCACAAAGGTAAGTTTCAATAAACTAGGTTGAGGAACTGACGCCAGCGAAATTGTTTGCATAAAAAATGGAAAAATTTATCACGCAAATTACCAAGAAATCACACTGATTTACGTATTTCTGCTGGATTAGAATGCGCTATAAACTACAGTGTGCTTTATGACACAAGTTTTCCGTTTTTATCAGTTTTTGTTATTAATGAAATGTTGCCTTACGCTTTGCTAAAGAAATAAAAGCAGAATATATGGGCATTTAGTATGCGTGAGGTGAGAATTATCTCAGTTTTTTAATATTCATCCGTACATTGAAATCAGATTTATGAACAAATAGTCTTAAGGAATGTAGCACATCTTTAAGCATTAAATTCTTGAAAATTGTAGTTTAAAGTGCAAAAAACTGTTAAGTGGAAAACTTTTTAATTCGTTTTAAAATCAAATTTGAAATAGCTTTTAAAAGAATGGAAATTCCCAGATAGGATTGATTGGAATTAGGAAAATAAAGAAATGTCAGCTAGGACTGATGGACTTTATATAAAAAGAAGGCAATATAAAGCCTTTTTTCAACTAGAGAGAACATATATAGGAATATACGAATATATAGGCATTGCTTAAGCACATATATAGGAATATTTTAGGATAATGGCTGGCAACTTCTCTACTTTTAGTATAACTTCATAGAAGTTTGTGAATATACATTTCTTACATATGCTCTAGCCAAAGCCAACTCAACAGACATAAAGTCAAATTTCACTGCCATTGGAATTAAGTCATTAAAATAAATCATATTTCATATGGTTAAAAGAAGAAGAAATGTCTGCAACATTTCCACCTTGAATTGACCCAAACAAATTGCAAATGCCATTTACAAGGCATAGACATTTGGAATCATGCATTAACTACAACAACACAAGCATTACAACAACAACAACAGCAGCAGCAACAGCAACAGCAACATGAACAGCAGCAGCAAAAACAGCTGCATTTTACAGTTAAATACAGCAACTAGCACTTAGCCGCACTTGTTCAAAAGCCACAAATCTTTTATGGCATTTGTTTCAAATGCGATAATAACACTTAAGTTGGTAAATTGTTGGCTTAAACGCAAATTAAAGACAACTTTTGACTAGATAGAGCTGAGCAGGCGTTGAAGCGGGCAGTGCGAGCACATGGGGGAAGGCAGGCAGGTGTTTTTCTTTTTTTTTTTACCTGGTATAATTTATACTTAGCCAAACGCCAAATCAAATTGGTAAGCATTTGACATTTATGCTGAGAGCTGAGAGCCGAAGCTGGAGCTGAAGCTGGAGCTGGGGCTGAGGAAAAGCGCATTCAACGTAATCAAATGCCATGGAAAATGCAGTCACTAGGCAGGTGGGCGGAGGGGGCAGCAAGAGATGATTTATGCACTCATTGTATAAGATTAGCTAGACATAGGCATGGACCCGGCCAGGTCGAGTAAAGCAAGGAAAAACTTTGCGCAGTTATCACGAATGTTGTTAGCCTCAACAGTTGCCAGTTGCCGTGTTGCCACGTTGCCACGTTGCCATGCTGCGAATCGAAGTTGGTTTCGGTTTTCGTTTTCCCAGGCGCACATTTTGTCACAAGAGGCTGACTTTATTTATGAGAACTTGCAACCAGCTAACAATTTGCAAATGCCGCTGCCTCGCATGCATGCAACCGCAGCAACCGGCTCACAACTTACAGCGTACCGCTCACGGGCCGCAGCTGGCATCATGTGGCAGACCCTGACGCAGTCTATGATTTACTTTTGTAAATTCAATAATTGCGCTTCATTAAATTACTTATATTTGTATAGAGTTAACTGTTATTGTAAACAACTTTAAAAGCAATTGGGCATAAACGTCATTGCCAGCAGCAGCGAGAAGGCTAGTTGGGGTTTGGGGCCTAGAGGGAAAGCGTTTGGACCCACAATTTTCCACGCCACTTGAGCGTAATTAGCCGTTGAGCTTCTAAGCGCTGTGCAAATAGCACAAGTAGCGCAATACCAGCCTCTCTCTACCTGCCAGCCACCTTTGCCACGCCTACCTTGGCTTGGCGACTGTCGTGGTTGCGACCACATGGAGCTATGCTCTCCCATCTGTGGCCTGCAAGTCTGGCGTCTATATATAAAAAGTTCTCGATTCTATTTTGATAACTGCAAATATTTGCAATTAGCCATTATTTGCCATACTTTACGTAGTATCTGCCGGTGTCTGTGGGCTTAGCGATTTGTGTTTTGTATTTTTAACTGTTTTAATGCCTCACCTGAGCTGTAGCCTAATTCCAAACAAAACAGATACGGAACACCCACTAAATAGCATTGTAACTCATAGTTCGCAGCTCGAACTGCGTAGCTCTTTGGGCATTTTCCATGAGGTCGCAACCACGTGCGTTGTAGACAGCCAAAAAGAAGTAAATCTGGAGTGTGCTCGACTAGTAGATACCTTAAAAGAAAGGTGGATTAAGTAAATAAAGCATGTCAATATTTATCAATCTTGAGCATTGCTCTAGAGTTATTCTAAAGAAACGAAACCTTCTGAATCCATATTTGCCAATATAAACTAAGTTCATAGTATCAATATGGTAATTGGAGCAGTTATTAATGAGTGATAAACTATTTGAAATTAACTCTGGGTGTTATATTGTATATAAGGACGATAGACGTCGGTTGATCCAGAGATGGTTAGACTATAAAGTGAGGCGTGAAAAGCTGACTGAATAAAGATAAGATAGCGAATTAAGCAAAAGAGAAAGATGATCATCGACTCAGCTTTACAGACTGTGCCTATAACATGCAACAAATAAATACTATGGCCTATTAAGCTATTTGCCTTTACAGGGTATCCATAAAAGAAAGCCACAAACAAGCTGCTCAAATTTCTAATGGCCATCGGCAAAGTTCATTTGCCTGCAGTTGAGCAGCAGAACAGTTGAACAGCTTAGCTAGAAGTAAGCGATACCATTATTGGGATTGGGACAGCACTTGACATAACAAACAGGCAGCCACTAGCTGGCTAGCTGGCTAGCTACTCCTATTCCTATTCATTCAGTTGAACTGCTGGCTAAGTAGCGCCAACTGTGGCTGTCTGCTTGTCAGACGGAGATCAAAGCGTCGCGTTGTTTACACAGGCGGCAAAAGTCGCATGCTGTAATTACATAGATGTGTGTGCGACGACAACAACAATACAAGCAGCAACAACAAGGACAACATATATGAAGAGTCTTGCAACTGGCTGACAGCTTGGCTAATTGAAACTGGACACACGCTGAGACGCAGACAGCAGCGGTTGGAGGCAAACATAATGGCATCAGGAGAAAGGAGACAGAGCGAGGAGTGTGGGCGTGGCTGGGTAAACAACAATATAACTACTAATGTAGACAAGCAAACATATAAGTCAGCCAGCCACAGACAAAGCCGCAGCCACAGAGCGTATGAGCAATATGCTACAGTTGAACAAGCAGTGACTCGCAAACTGTTTGCTGTGCATGTTTTGCATGCGATGCGATGCGATGTGCTTTATTTATTGCTTTTTGACTTTCATCGTGAAGTCGCGAATCTGCCTTTAATTGAGTGCCTAATTAAAAGGCATTGAATTACACGCGACCCCAAACATTGGCCATGGCAATTAAATCGAACAAGCGACGCATTTTCTGCCTTGTTTTTGTTGTTTTCTTCATTTCGTGCCGTTGTCGATGCAATGTTGCTGATTATTTCGGAAATGCCAATCAGATGAAAGGCCCACAGAATGTGCAAAGCACACAGCATACAGCATGTGCAATCGCAATCGCAATTCGCATGCCCCCCTTTACGAGGCCCCTATCTCATCTGCGTTGATTACCGTCTGCATGGAGTCTGCGTCAGCGTGTCGACCAACACAATCCAGATACAGCTCTGACCGAACTGAGCAAATATTCAAGTTACAGAAAAACTACAAGTAGGCCCAATTATCCACTGAGCGTCGCTCCCACCTGGAGCCTGATCTAAACCTTAAGTTCTTCGTCATTTTTGGCAACAATTTGTTTAGGTTTATATACATTTGTGTCTTTACAATAGTTAACTTATATATAACAAATCTTTGAGCTAACAATCTAAATTTATAACTACAATTAGTAATAGGTTTCAACAGTCGTTGCTTAGTATTTAGTCTGATCTCTAGCAGTGCCCAATTGACTTACTGCTGCATGCAATAGAGCTGATTGCAATAACGGTACGTCGTATTATCGCTACGCACAATGCTTATGCCCGCTCCATAGTAAGCTAAAACGGAATTAAGCGGTTCAATTAAATGGCTAGCAGTCTATAATCTGTATGCATACGTATGACATAGGCCGATCCATCAGCAGGTCCAACCACCTGTAGCGCTATCAATATGATGTCTATCAATTGACCAAGAAACATGCCGCCGAGTGTGCATAATTTCAGGAGTCCTATGCCCGGATAGCCCAAGTAGAAACGATCCACACCGAACATGCCCAGGAACACGGAAAGCAGCAATGTTGTGTCCAAGTGATAGCCATTGCTACAAATAGCAAAGTAAACAAAAATCTGTAGCTGGCACACCATACAAGGGGCAACGATCCACACTTACGTCCACTTGCAGGGCATCTCGCGTGTAAACGTAGAGTTGCCCGTTTCGGTGCAGTTGATATCGACGGCTGCTATACACCAGACACGTGCACGATTCTGTTTTGTACAGCCACGTAGCTGTTGAGTCTTTGGATCGATGTGATTCTTGGCGGGATCGGGACACATAAACTGTCCCATTAGCAGCTCGTTGCAGTCCACAGTTACGGGTTCCGTTTGCGACACATAGGTGACCAGTAGCAGAAGCAACGCCACGTACCACAACATTTTCTGATTATATTATAACGGTATATACACTTTGCCGTGATTACTTAGCAAATTATGCTTAGGCATCTGCATGAACTTTGTTTTGTTTTGTTTGTGTGTCGTCTTCTTCTTGTGTTCCTACATTGCGGTGGTCCGTCGATAACTATACAGTGCTGTAAAATGATCAAAACTGTCTGCAAAAATATGCGACAGATGGCGCCAACGCAAAACCCGCCAAAACTGAATTTTTTATTGATTGAAATTGTAAAATACATATAGTTTATTGAAACAGGCCCGCCTGTTTATTGAAAACATATTTCTTGCAATTTAATAGCACGCGCACTTCTTTCGCCTGCTCCGACTTGAGCTGCTCTACCGTGGCACTTGACATTCCATCCCTAAATACGATGCACACTTTGGAAGTCTGTCCAAATGTGCGTTCGATGCAACCCGCCTCGCCCGTAGACAGCTGCACGCGCTTGCCCACATACATGTCGCGGTTGGCTTCCTTCTTGAAGAGATTCTGTACAATTATTTCGTTCGAGCTCACCACGCGCTGTATGCTGCCCTCCTTCTGCTTGCGCTTGAATACGCGCAGCTGGGGCAGCACTTCACTCTGGTAGTTAACACAGTGCGTCTGCCAGGCGATGCGACCCCAAAAGGCGAGTCGACAGCTGTTGCTGTGCACATTCATATCCAGCTTAGAGGCAATCAGCGTAGATCCCAAAGTAGTCAGCACTGGCGTCTCAAACTGCAGCAGAGCAAAGAGACCATCGTTAGGCGTCGCCTCCGCTGGCAGCACTTCCTCTACATACGCATATTCCCTGCTGCAGTCAAATTCGGAGCAGGCAACGGCATTCTCATCGTGGAATAGCGTCAGGTTAGCCATGACTGTGTCGTGGCCCACGGTGATGTGCAGCTTGCTTCTGGAGCGGATTGCCTGCTTGTAATACCGTATGAGCTGAACCTTCACGCACACCGCATAAACAGGGCGCAGGTAACTCGGTTGGGCAATGATGCCACGCTCCATCAGTTTGGCATTGAACTGGGTGACGCAGAGGCCAATGCGATCGCCAGTGCTGGCTTTATCCACCGGCTGACGGAATCTCTGAATGGATTTAACTTTGCGCTTCTCACCCAGCAGCGGTATCTCCACAGTTTCATTGATGGACACCTGGCCCTGCAGCAGGGTGCCCGTGCAGACGGTGCCCTGGCCCTTGATGGCAAAACAGTGATCCACATACATGAGCAGCGGTGCATCTATGTTGCGCTGCGGCACATGGTTAGCAACGCGAAGACCTGCACGCAGCTCTTCTATATTTGTGCCCTCTAAGGCAGAGACAGCAAAGATGTCCACCTGGTCGCCATACGTGGTGTCTGAGAGCGTCTTCCTTAGCCTATTTTTAAGCTTTTCCAGCTTGGAGGCACGCTGTTCTGCTGGTAGTGCATCAATCTTGTTGATGACTACCAACAGCTTCTTCTCCAGCAGTTCCCCAATGACCAAACACTCTGCCGTCTGTGTCTGCATTCCCTTCTGTGCATCCACCACAAGCAGCATCAGATCAATGATTTGGGCACCTGCAAGCTATTCTATGAACTAATGTTTTGCTGCCGCACTCCTTCACTCACCTCCAATGATGGTACGTATGAGGGACGCGTGTCCTGGGCAATCAACGAAAGTCAATTGCAGCTGCTGCCCATCGGGCTGATCCAAGACGAGGGCGCTGAAGCCCAAGTCGAGTGTGATGCCACGTTCCACGGACTGCGGGCTCTTATCAAAGGCCGCCGTGCTGGAGATGGAGCTCAGTGCCCGGGCCAAAGTGGTTTTGCCGCTGTCCACATGGCCCAAAAGTCCAACATTGAAATTTCTTGCCATTGTTTACAAATATGGAGGGCGCACACACGTCACAACCGTCACGCCGTTAGTTAAACTATCGATAAGTTCTTAATTACTAATAAAGACGATAGATGGCGGCTGTAATCAAACAGTTAATAATACGAAATAAAAAAGAGAAACATGCATATTTATAACCTGTTACTTCCAGGCTTGATCAGCACTGAAATGGTACTTTTTTTTTTTTTTTTTTTTTTTTTTTTTTTTTTTCGTTTTTATTTCTTTATTTTGTTGCAGCTTATTGTCTTAGACTCTATAGCGCATTTAGCTCTAAACCTTAACTAATGGGAGGGCAGATATGCCAATTATTCTGCACTTGTAGCTACTATCTTAATTAGTTCTAATATTGTCTAGAGGATGCAATCTCTTCAGTCTTCGCCTATTGTTGTTTATAGCCAGGTTGCTTGCGAGATGGTTAGGATGCGCTGCAAGTCTGTCCGCGTATCTTGAACTGTGTCGCCCAATGAGTTCAGCAACTGTGGGAATTGCTAAATCCCTATGTAAGACTGAGTTTCTTACAAACCAGCTGGCTCCAGTCCATCTGCGTAGTGCTTTATTCTGCAGGGTCTGAATTTTGTTCCTTGTAGTCTTCGCCGAGGAGCCCCATAGAGAGATACCATATACGAAGGTTGGGACAACTATTGCCTTGTAGATGGCGGCCTTGCTGCTGTAAGACAACTTGCTTGAAGCTCTCAGCATCCAGTCGAGGGTTTTTAGCTTGCTTTTGCATTTTGAGGTTACTTGACTTATGTGCGCTTTAAAAGTCAGCCTTCTGTCAAGAGTGATACCAAGGTACTTTACTTTTGAGGCTTTGGGAATAGTGGGCCCCAATGCAACGCTTGGGCAATCTCCTCTTCTAGTGGCGAAGGTAGTATGTACAGACTTTTGTGCATTAATGGTGATACACCACCGTTTTGCCCAGCGTCCGAAAGAGTCCAGATATTTTTGTAGTGAGTCTGAAGCTTCTTGCGCAGATACGTGACGTGATAAGATGGCGGTGTCATCTGCATAGGTCGCTATGAGTACTGCATCTGTACTTCCTATATTTGGCTCGGGAGTTGGCATATCTCCTGTGAATAAAGTATAAAGTGTTGGGCCTAGAACACTACCCTGTGGTACTCCAGCCATAATTGGTCTAGTCAAGGATACTGTTTGCCCCCTTGACACTTGGAAGGTTCTTCCAATAAGGTATGAGGATAGCAACGCGAAAAATGGGGCTGGAAGGGTGGTCCTCACTTTCTGCAGCAGTCCCAGGTGCCAAACTCGATCAAACGCCTGTTTGATGTCTAAAAAGACGGCAGAGCAGTACATCTTTTCTTCAAAGGCTCCAAGGATATGGTGCACAACTCTGTGAACCTGTTCCGGTGTTCCATGCTGTCTCCTGAAGCCAAACTGATGGTTTGGAATGGCCTCCTGGCGTCCCAGATGTGTCAGTACTCGTTCCAGAAATATTCTTTCGAATATTTTGGAGAGTACTGGCAACAGGCTAATTGGTCTGTACGACTCAATTTCTCCCACGGGTTTGCCAGGCTTAGGAATCATCACAATCACGGCGCGCTTCCAGCAGGCTGGAAAGTGCCGGATGCGGAGCATGGCGTTGTACACCATAGTTATGTAGTCTATGGTGGAGTCAGGCAGTGCTCTAAGGACTCTGCCGTTTATTAGATCATATCCAGGGGATTTTTTTGCCTTCACTCTTCTGATGTGTTCAAGAACCTCTTCTTTTGTACATCCAGTTATCTGGTCTTCAGCTGGGAGGGGCGAGAGAACGATGTCTTCTGTTGCTTCGATTTCTGAGGCCTCTGCGGTAATCACCGGCGTGAATTGGTCTTGAAGGTGGTTTGCAAAAGCCTCAGCTTGAGCTTCGTCTCCAATGTGCCAGGAACCAGAAATGCTCCGAATGGGATGACGTCGTATTGGCTGCCGTTTGAGCTTTCTTGTAAATTTCCATAATTGAAACTCTGCGTCAGTGGGCGATTCAGCTCGTACCAGCGCATCGCTGATACACCTCTTTTGAAGCAGGGCGAGAGCAGCTTTAAGATGCCTCGTGGCTTCGTTGTACATGGATTTGGCATCAGGCGTGCGTAATCTTAACCAGCGTCTCCTGGCCCATCTTTTGTGTATTAGTAGGTGTTGGGCCTCCAAGGTGAGGGGGATGTTGTACGGAGACTGTTGTCTTGTTTGGCAAGATGGTGGGGCGGCTTGGTGCGCAGCTTTGACTATTTCTTCCTGCAGTTTGTTTGCTGCGTAGTCCACGTCTTCAGGAGTGTTAAGTTCCATTTCTATGTGCAAAGAGTAATGGAGCTCGCGCCTAAAGACTCCTAAATCTGATCCTGCTGGCAGTAGTTGTTTCCTAATGGGCAAGGGCTGTGGCTGCGCGTGGATTGTGACTATTAGTGGCAGGTGGTCAGAGGATAGGTCCAAGGATTCTTCAATGGTCAATTGCCGGTCACAGATGCCTTTGTAGACAGCGAAGTCGATTGCCGAGGGCCTGTGTCCATTAATTGGGTAACGGGTGGGGGCTCCAGTCGCCAATATGCTGAATTGTAAGTTTTGAATCGCCTCAAATATGACTTCTCCGCGACGATTCGCACTATTGCTTCCCCAAAATGGGTGCCATCCATTCCAGTCGCCGCCGATGAGGGTCTTATTCAACCTTTGGCCTAGAACCTGTTCCATGTGATGATCACACAGACCAGTGTTTGGCGGAAGATAAATTGACGCAACTTCGATCGCTCCAATAGACGTAGGCAGGGTGATGGCTGAGACCTGCATTGTTGCGTTGCAAATTGGCAGTAAAGGTGTATGCGGTATTGTTGCTCGTATGAGGATTGAGGATCCACCAAAGCAGTTTGCTCCTTCACCATGAGCCTGATAGTGTTCGTATCCGAAAATTTGTGTAGTGGGGCACTCATGAGTTTCTGTTATTAACATTATATCTATGTTTTCTTGTGAGAGAAACGCAGCCAGTTCCTGAGTCTTGTTTCTCAGGCCATTGGCGTTCCAGATACCCACACGTAAAGCCATTATTTGTAGGCAAGCTTGGTTATGATGGCCATTAAACTGTTTAGCATGGTTGCTTGTTGGGATTGTACTTCTCGCATCGCTTTGAGCTCGGCATTAATTGCGTCAAACTGACGTTGTTGTTGCTGAAGCATTTCAGTGAACAAAGTGTCACTTGTGGTATTCTTATTTGACGGTCCACCTCTAGCGGCCTGTGCGTAAGAAACACCACTAATAGGCGTTGCAAAGCTCGTGGCTTGGGTAATGCTCCGGGGCCTTGTAATTTCGGAAGCAGTACTCGGACCCGTAGACGGTGTTTGTGTGGGACTCCTTTTTTGTGCTGGGGATTGCAATTTGCGCAACCGCTTGTATACTTGGCAGCCCTTATAGTTGGCTGGGTGCTGTAACTCACAGTGCACACAAGTTGGTGCCTGGTCCTTTTCGCGGGTGCAGTCTTTGGATGCGTGTTTCCCGGCGCAACGCACACATCTGGGAGCTTTGTGGCAGTAGCGTTGTGTGTGTCCAAATTCTTGACAGCGATGGCATTGTGTCAGGTCGTTGTATCTTCTTGGCAGTTCCACTGTGCAGCGTTGCCTGCAGACAACTCGAATGTCCAAAATTTCTTTGTTGTTGGGGGCCTGAGCCACGTCAACAAAAAATATATTTAGCGGTGTTTTGTCCATACGGCTCAGTGGGTTGTGCACATTTGTAATTGTGTGGCCTTTGGTTTCCAATTCCTTTTTAATTAGTGTTGTATCAGTGCTGGAGTGAAGCCCTTTGAACACGACTCTATATGGTTTGTCCTCCTTAAGCTGGTAGCAGTGGAACTCCAATTCCAGCTTAGTAAAGTGGTCTATAACTCTGCGATAGTCCTCACTGCATTGGGTTAATACACCTATGTTATTCTTCTTTGGCTTAATTACGTATGATTTAGCATCAATTACTTTATCTATTATCTGTTGAAGTAGGGCCACAGACTTGATGTTTGGACACCATATGGGGGGCGGACGAGGTTTCGGAGTAGTTTGCTGGTCGGTCAATACTGGGGCTTCTGGAGCTACAGGTGATTCGCTGTAGTCTTCATCTTCTTCTACGAGCAGTGAAAATCGATTTTCTGATATTAATGCTGCATTGCTGGTGCTTGGTTCGTCGAAGATGAGCCTTTTCTTGATGGTTTTTGGTGAATTTGGCTGTTTACGTTTCGTGTTTTTGTTGTTAGTGATGCCTTGCACGGAGGCGATATCTATTTTTGAGTTTATTGGCATGATGGAGGCTTGCCTATTTGCCATCACAACGTTAAGCTGGGCTTGCATTTCTGCATTTACCTTTACAGCTGTAGCGAGGTTATTGACATTAGATGTCATCGCGGATTGTGCTTTTGAGTGCAGGCGCACTCGCGCCAAGCGACGAAATTTCGTAAATTGCAATTAAAGCAATTGAGTTACGCGGAAGCAAGCGATAAGAAAACGCTGCGTGTGCGGTTTTTGTTGCTGTTGCGTTGAAGAATGCACCGCAAAGTTCTATTTTTAGAACTCTGCAGCAGTAGAGCTTAAGCGAAGGCTGTTCGAATTCACGTCTTTACAGGTCGAACGACTGATCGCGATGAAATGGTACTTGAAAATCCATACATGTCGAGCGTTCGCTATGCTAAAGTCGTTAAAGTCTCTTTGATTCTCTACTCTATACTCTCTTTTTTGCACTCACTTTTCACTTGCAACTCTAATGGAATTTCGTATGCGACTTTTTTACAAAGAGAGCGACTGAAAAGTAAAGCGAGACTATCTCAATGCACGAGTTCTTTGCGAACTCCAAATACAAAGTCGTAGAAGAGTTGTATCAAGCAACAAGTGAGAGGCATAAATATAAGTATGAGACGTTACATTTAAACTGAGCTCGATTCGTTGTGTTCAGTTCTGATCGACAGCTGCTGCAGAGCGGTCGCAACTTGAAGGAAAGTAAAAAGTTGAATTTGTTGCAAAAATGTCTGCAAAATCTGTTATACCCAAAACAGTAAATCATGATTTGCAAAAGGAACGCGATGGTGCCAGCTTTAGCAGTGAAGAGTTTGCCAGCTGGTGGGCGGGCGGAACAGAGAAACTTGAATTTAGCAGAAGTGTCCGTAAGTTCTCAATATATATATTCAACATTGTTTCTTCTTCTTCTTGTAAGTGCAAACATTTTTTTATTTCTATTATTAATTAATAATCCATTAAAGAAATTAAATCAAGTTTCGCTGAAGCTGCACCATTTGACAATCGCATTCTGTGTCCACAAAGATAATACCTCATACAATTGCGTTATACTTAAGTCTATTCTTCACGCTTGCAGCCTTTGGCTTTGAATAATTTGAGTGAGTTGTGTGTTCTTAGAAGTTCATATAGTTCATATTTGAAGATTTATTTTAACTAAGAATATGTTGCTGATAAATTTTTTCATTTTTCTCTCTTTCAGGCGAGTATATGTACAAGGATTTCGACTACGATGAGAGCCAGCAGCTTTATTACAAGTCCCATGAGGATATGTGCGAATTCGCCGTTCGATCTAGCATAAACGTGGCGAAAAAGCTGCGACAGCTGCAAGCGCAGCGAAATCCTGGCGGAACCGAGTATTGGCCGTGAGTGAATATCGTTTCCTTATTCAGATTTCACTTATTAAAGCTGCCCTTTGGAATGCATCAGCACTCTCTTTGACGAACCGGACCTATGGGGCTTGCACCTGGCTGGCAATCCCTTCAACGTGATGTACATGGTCGTGGTGGATGCTCTAAAGACGCAGAGCACCCCCGAGCAGTACAAAGAGTTTGGTAAGCGCGTGGAGCGCTTTGAAGTAACCGCTACCTATGCACAGACGGAGCTGGGACATAGCAGCCATCTACGTGGCCTGGAGACGCGCGCCGACTACGATCGGGACACGGATGAGTTTGTGTTGAATACGCCCTCCATTACAGCCTACAAGTGGTGGCCAGGCGGATGTGAGTAGTGCGTAATCCTTTTGACACACTTTTAATCATGATTTCCTTCCTTTCCAGTGGGTCAGTGCTCCAACCATGCGATAGTCATGGCGCAGCTGTACATTGATCGAGAGCATAAGGGACTTCATATGTTCTACGTTCAAGTGCGAGAGGAGGGCACTCACGAACCACGGCCAGGCGTGCACATTGGCGAGCTGGGCAAGAAGATGGGCTACCTGGGCGTCAATAATGGCTTTTTGGGCCTGAAGAACGTGCGCATTCCACGCACTCGGATGCTCATGCGCCATGCCCAGGTGAATCGTGATGGCAGCTACGTGAAGAGTCCAGTTGACGCCCTGACTTACTTTGCAATGCTTTCCACACGATGCATCGTGACACGTAACTCGGCTGTTGCACTGGCTACAGCAGCTACCATTGCGACACGATTCTCGGCCGTGCGTCGCCAGTCGCCCATTGATGACAGGTGCCAAGCTCCGTACTTGATCTGCTGGCATAAATAACTGAAGAAATTCCAATATTCCAGTTTACCAGAGCCACAGATCATGGATCATGTCACACAACAGCTGAAGGTCTTTCCGGAGATAGCCACCTGCTTGGCCTACCGCTTAGCTTACGACTACCTCCGAGAGTTGTTCAGCGCGACTTCCAGGGACATAGATCATGGCAACTACAATAGTCTACCCGAGCTGCACTCTCTTTCGTGTGCCTTAAAGGTTATGAGCACAAGTGACTGCGCCGCGGGCATTGAACGACTGCGACTGGCCTGCGGTGGTCTTGGATATCTAGCCTCTTCCAATCTGAGCAATATTTATGTCAATACAGTCGCTGCGTGCACCTACGAGGGAGAAAATACGGTGCTTCTACTCCAGGTAGGTCGCTTCCTGATGAAGTCGTGGTATGCGGCACTGAGTGGAGCTCCAGTTGCTCCCACTGCCAGCTACTTGGCAGAGGTGCAGCAGAGTCCAGACTTTGGATTGTGGACTGGCAGCTGGAGTAATTTGGTGAGAGCGATGCAATTTGCTGCTGCCAAGTGAGTTGTCCCTAATCTTGAATGGAAACCCGTAGTTCACTTTATATTCCTTAGCAAAACGCGGCTGGCCTTTAAGAGTCTGTCAAGACGTATAGAAAATGGCGAATCAGAGCGGATGGCCTCGAGCCACACAGGCATTGGGCTCACCCAGGCAGCTCAGGTATTGTCTAACTTATCTGACTAACTTATATCCTCAGTGTATATTCTTATAAATATGCTGTTCTTTGCTATAGTTGCATGCTCGCGCCTTTGTGTTGCACAGGTTCTGCGCTGAGGTAACTGGACCAAAGTCCAGGGCTCGTTCGCCTGCCTTGAATCGAGTGCTGCAGCAACTGCTGGAACTATACCTGGTGAATGTTACATTGAGCAGTTTGGGTGATGTACTTCGGGTGGTTCACTTGACCGATGAAGATCTGAACAAGCTGCAGGCTCGTCTGGAGGATGCACTTGCCAAACTGCGACCTGATGCGGTAGCAATTGTAGATGGATTCGACTTTGGTGATAAGCAGTTGAACTCAACTTTGGGATTTCATGATGGCAATATGCTCGAGCGGGTTTTTAATGCGGCTTTGAAGGCGCCCATGAACCGGAAGTCGGTGCCAAAAAGCTTTCACGAGCATTTGGGTCCGTTTATGAGATCGAACATTTAAAACGAACATTTTGTAAAGGTTTTAACTTAGTGAATGTTGTATGGATTGGTTACTTCATTATTTCAATTTATTTTATTAATTTTTTATTTTAATTGAATTGTTCTGTTCAGGCGGGTTTTGTTTTATATGAAACGTAAACAACGGCAGGTGGCGGTAGAGTGCCAACCAAAAGCACTCGCAACCTACCTCAATGTAGTAAGCACACATGTATACGCGCACTCGCCCTTGCACATCTATGTATGTACAAATATGCGTACACTTAAGCTTTTGTTTATTACCACATGAAAGCTTTTGGATTACAAAGCTTTTTCTTAAAACAAGAGTCATAGCAGCAGAGAGAGACAGAAAGAGCATAGCAAGACAAAAGAGGGCCCGATTTCCATTTTAAGTTTCAATTCAATATCAATCCGAACTCAGTTACGGTCCGCAGTGTGTGGCGAGTGGTTGTTATTTGGAACGAAGTTTGTGCTCATAAAAACCCATTAGAGATGTCTGCAAACAGCGTGATACCCAGCACAGTTAATGCTGATCTACAAAAGGAACGCGATGGCGCTAGCTTTAACACCGAAGAATTTGCTGTCTGGTTTGCGGGCGGCGCTGAACAGTTGAAGTTTAAGAGAGACGTCAGTAAGTAAGAGGCAATTAATTTTCGCAGCTACAATGTTGTAATTAAATACATGTAAAATAGACAGAACCGATAATGAATTTTCAACACTTGCTTTTCATACTAAATAATGTCATGAGTTAAAAGTTATCTCAGCTACATGGGTGGTCAAAGGTAAAAAGAAATATTTGCAATCTTACTTTCAAGGCTAAATTAAAATTGCTTTATTATGTTTATAGTAAACATCATTATTATAGATTAACTACTAATGCTGACTATGCACTATTTACTATTTACTCTTGATCTTTATCTCTATCTCTCTCTCCCTCTCTTACTCTCTCTTCGTAGAAGAGTACATGTACAAGGACATTGACCATGCTGCCTTTAGTCAGGTCGAGTACATGTCGCATGAGGATATGTGCGAATTCACCGTTAAGAACAGCATTAATGTGGCAAAAAAGCTGCGGCGACTGCAATCGGAGCGAAATCCGGGTGGCACTGAATATTGGCCGTGAGTAAATGTAGCTCTCTTATACGGAGTTCTCTTCTAACTACTCTTCGACATGTGGCAGTACTTGTTTTGATGGGCCCGAACTGTGGGGTCTGCACAAGATAGGCAATCCCTTCGGCGTCATGTTCGTGATGGTAGTGCACGCTCTGAAAGACCAATGTACGCCGGAGCAGTACGAAGAGTTCGGTAGGCGGGTGGAACGCTTTGAAGTGTGCGCCGCCTACTCCCAAACGGAGCTGGGACATGGCACCTACTTGCGTGGCCTGGAGACACGCGCCGACTACGATCAGGACACGGATGAGTTCGTGCTGAATACGCCCTCCATTACAGCCTACAAGTGGTGGCCAGGCGGATGTGAGTTGCAAATCATCTTACTGATTAACGGTTAATCCTTATTTACGTTCTTTTCAGTGGGTCACTGTTCCAGCTATTCGATTGTCATGGCGCAGTTGTACATTGATGGCCAGCGCAAGGGTCCCCATCTGTTCTACGTGCAAGTGCGAGAGGAGGACACTCATGAACCACGGCCAGGCGTGCATATTGGAGAGATTGGCAAGAAGATGGGCTTCCTGGGCGTCAATAATGGCTTTTTGGGCCTGAAGAACGTGCGCATTCCACGCACTCGGATGCTCATGCGCCATGCCCAGGTGAATCGTGATGGCAGCTACGTGAAGAGTCCAGTTGATGCTCTCACTTATTTTGCCATGGTCCACACTCGCTGCATCATTGCTCGCAACATGTCCTTGCTTCTGGCCGTGGGAGCCACTATTGGCACTCGCTACTCCGCCGTGCGCAGACAAAGTCCTATCGATCCCAAGTAATACGTACTCCGTGCTTGTGTCAATATCTCGTTTACTTAAAGAAACTTCTTTTCAGGTTGCCCGAGCCACAGATCTTGGATCATGTCACACAACAGCTGAAGGTCTTTCCGGAGATAGCCAACTGCGTGGCCTATCGCAATGCTTGCAACTACCTCTTGGAATTTCTTAATACCACCTCCAGGGACAAGGATCAGGGAAATTACGAGCGTCTGCCCGAGCTTCACTCGCTCTCCTGTGCTCTGAAGGTTCTTTGTTCCGGCGATGCCACTGCGGGCATTGAGCGACTTCGTCTGGCTTGTGGCGGTCATGGCTATTTGACCTCATCCAATCTTGGCAACCTCTATGTCAACGCAACGGCTGCCTGCACCTATGAGGGAGAGAATACGGTGCTTCTACTCCAGATTGGTCGCTTCCTGATGAAGTCGTGGCGTGCAGCACAGAGCGGAGCTCCCCTTGCACCCACTGTCAGCTACTTGGCAGAAGTGCAGCAGAATCCTGAGTTTGGAGTCTGGACAGGCAGTTGGGAGAATTTGGTCAAAGCGATGCAGTTTGCTGCAGCCAAGTGAGTTATGGATACAAATGCGTAATGTTAATCTGGAATAACTTTATTTTCCTTTCAATTCATTAGCAAGACTCGCATAGCCTTCAATAGTCTGTCCAGGCGCTTGGCCAATGGACTATTGGAGGAGGTGGCCGCCAACCAAACAGGCATTGAACTCACCCAGGCGGCAGAGGTACAGTTCCTGAAATGCTCATCATTCACAGTATTACTGAAAGTGTTAAATTTCTTTCTTTAGCTGCATGGTCGGGCATTTGTTTTATATTCATTCCTCTCTGAGGTAACTGGGGCAAAGTCCAAGACGCGCTCATCAGCCCTTAACCGAGTGCTGGAGCAGCTGCTAGAACTATATCTTGTGAACGTTACGCTGAACAACATGAGCAGCATTCTCCGAGTTGTGCCTTTGACAGATGCGGATCTGAGCAAGCTGCAGGTTCGTCTGGAGACGGCGCTGACCAAACTGCGTCCGGATGTGGTGGCCATTGTCGATGGTTTCGACTTTAATGATCAGCAGTTGAATTCCACATTGGGCTCCTTTGATGGCAATGCCTATGAGCGAATCTTCGATGCTGCTTTGAAGGCGCCTATGAACCAAAAATCGGTTCCGAGAAGCTTCCATGAGCACCTGGGGCCTTTCATGAAATCCAACATATAAAACGCTTAAGTGTAACCGTCTCTTATTTTTGTCTCTTCTTGTTGTATATATATATGTATTTTTCTCTTAGTTGATTTGTAAACACATGTTAATCACAACAGCAGTATTTCGTATAATTCATTTTGTGCTTTATCTGCGCTCTCTTTTGCGCTCGCTCAACGTAGTAGTACGATGAAAGCTTTTTGGCTCTTTGCTCTGCACTTTGCCCTCAAAGCTTTTTCCTCATACTTGTTCTCTGCGCAATCGGCTCAGTTGTGTACTGTAGCTTGGAGTGGCAAGAGTGATCTGGTTTTACTTGCACTGTTTTGTTAAATATTAAGAAACCAAGATGTCGAACATTAAAAATTTAATACCAACAACAGTAAATCCTGATTTGCAAAAGGAACGCACGGCGGCCAGCTTCGATGTGAACGAATTTGCAGCCTGGTGGCAGGGCGGAGCTGATAAACTAGAGATGAAACGGCAAATTGGTAAATAAGGCGCATAGCAGCTCTACGTTTGTGCTAGCGTGCACTCTCTCTCTCTCTCTCTCTCTCACTCTCGCGCTCGCCCTTCGATTGATACGTGACTTAAGAGCTGCTCGGCTAACTGTTTATCAAATACAATGTTTGGCAAGCCGGCAAAGTCCATTAGATTATATCAAATACATTGTCTACTAATTTTACGTCTATGAAACTTGTTTGATAAGGTCTTTTATGAATTTATTTCAATTGATTTCAGTTATCAGAGTGAATTGTGTTTACCTCTGCGATTGCATTTTATATCTCCAATCCAAAGTGTAAAGGCTGATAGATCAGACTTTGCTATTTACTATGTTTGCATAAATATTAAAATGTTAACATATCATATTTATATTTAGAGCTCGCTGTGTTTAGCGATCTGGAGGACGGTTATGGCATCAACCACGAATACATGTCCCACGAGGATCTATACAATTCCACCGTGAAGAAGGTCGCCGAAGCAGCGCCTAAGCTGAAGGCCTTGCAGGAGAAACTGAATCCAGGTGGCAAGGACATTTGGCCGTAAGTTGGACACAATTTGTAATCTACTAAAACTAATTCTAATCATTCGTAGTGGTTGCCTGTACCGGGTTCAGAGCCACGGTCTATTTCCAGCCAATCATCCGCTGGCCACCCACATTACCATGTTTGTGGATGTGATCAAGGGCCAGGGCACAGCTGAGCAGGTGGAGAAGTGGGGAACTTTGGCCGAGAACTGCAATATAATTGGCACCTATGCTCAAACCGAACTGGCCCATGGCACCAATGTGCGTGGCATCGAGACACGCGCCGACTATGATCCCAAAACGGGCGAATTTGTGCTTAACACGCCCAACCTGGAGGCCTATAAGTGGTGGCCCGGCGGCAGTAAGTGCTTTGTATATAAGATAATGAATGCTTGAGTATTAATATTCTATTCTATTTACAGTGGGCCACACGGCCAACCATGCCATGGTGGTGGCGCAGCTGTATATTGCCGGCAAGCACAAGGGTGTGCAAATGTTTATTGTGCCGCTGCGTGATCCGGAGACCCATATGCCGTTGCCAGGCATTGACATTGGCGAGGTGGGTAAGAAGCTGGGCATGGCTGCGGTCAACCAGGGCTTTTTGGGCCTGAAGAACGTGCGCATTCCGCGCACCAACATGCTGATGAAGTACGCCAAGGTGGAGCCCGACGGCACCTTCATCGCCAGCCCTGCTTCGAGGGTCAACTACTTGACAATGGTTTACACGCGCTGCCTCATTGTTAACTTGAACTCAGCGCTGCTGCTGCAGGCGGCAACGATAGCCACCCGCTACTCGGCCGTGCGTCGCCAGAGTCCGATTGAACCCGAGTAAGTAAGAGTCATATGACTGAGTTACCTATATCTTAATCTCTTTTGCGTTGCCACTGTAGTCAAGCCGAGCCGCAGATCATAGATCACGTGACACAGCGCCTGAAACTGTTCCCTGAGATAGCTACGGGCATGGCTTATGACATGGCCGCGAAGCACATGTGGGAGCTGTACGATCAGACGGTGCTGGATGCCAACAATGGAAAGTTCGAGCGTCTGCCCGACATGCACATCCTATCCTGCGCTCTGAAGGTCCTCTGCACAACCGACGGCTGTGCGGGCATTGAGCGTCTGCGTCTCTCCACTGGCGGCCATGGCTATCACATTGCGGCCAATCTGAGTAACATATATGGCAATGCGGTAGCTGCGTACACCTACGAAGGCGAAAACACTGTGCTGCTGCTGCAGATTGGACGCGCTCTGGTCAAGGCTTGGAACAGTTTCAAGCAGGGCCAGCCTGTCTCCGCATCGTATGACTACTTCGAGTCTTCCATGCGCCTGAAGGAGTTTCCCAAATGGAACAATTCTTGGGAGATCATTATCCAGGCACTGCAATACACAGCTGCCCAGTAAGTGTCTTATATGTACATATTTGGGGCTGACTAACACATCTATATTTGCAGTAAGACACGTATCGCATTTGAGAACATGTCGGAGAGAATTGCTGCAGGCCAATCGCAGGCTGTGGCAGCCAACAACACGGGTATCGAGCTAACCCGTGCAGCCGAGGTAAATTCTTTGAGTTTCCTGTCTTGATCAGCCCACAACTAATTTGTACACTATCCGTTCGCTAGCTCCACGGCCGCCAGTTTGTGTGTCAAACGTTTTTGAACCAAATTATTGGACCCAATGCTCAGAAACGTTCGCCCGCCTTAAACAAAGTGCTGGAAAATGTTCTGGAACTGTTCCTGGTGCAGACTGTGCTCAACAATTTGAGCGAGATCTTGAGAGTAATACTAATATAATATGGTATTTTCATTAAATCTGATTATTTATGCATTCCCCTTTCTAGTTTGTCAATCTGACCGATGCGGATCTGAGATCCTTGCAGAAACGCTTGGAGCTGTCGCTGGAGAAATTCCGTCCCGATGCAGTGGCTATCTGTGATGGCTTTGACTACCATGATCGCGTGCTTAACTCTGTGCTGGGCAGCTACGATGGCAATGTCTATCCACGACTCTTCGATGCGGCCAAGCGCAGCACCATGAACCAACGGCCCGTGCAAAAATCATTTGAAACCTATCTGAAACCTTTGATGAAGGCCAGCTTGTAGAGAGTACAATGTAAAGAATGGCTGAATTAAGCTGCAATTCCATTTTTGCCGTTTAGCAATGCATTTCAAGCAGATAATTAAACGCCATAAATTTATTGCCTGAGATTAAATCCACAACTTCAATGCTCCAACAGCCTTTATTATATCAAATCATCTTTGCACATTTTATAACCATCGAGGGATTAGAGAAGATAACTTGGTACGAGCGTAGTAACTTTCATTACGTTCATCTTAACATCGTGTCTTTACATATTCATGCACATTCATTTCATCGAGGGATTGGGATCACTGATTAGGAATGAAAGTAGATTATCTGGTAAGCTTGTATTATTTTCTTTTTTAGCCTTTTTAGTTACTTGGTGCTATGAAATTCCAAAGTTCTCTTTGATGATGATTTAACTTGACCACAAAATATGTAAAAAGTCATCTATGACTCTATATAATCTATATATTCGTGAACTGTATCTGTAGTTGATTCAATAATCTCCGTCTAACTGTCTAAAAATCGCTTTCTCGTCTTAGCGCATTCCCTCTCCCAGATATGAACACTCTTTCGATTTGTTTAAATTAGTTTTATTCCGTTTTTATTTAGCAAATCAAAACCAATTTCTCAGTACATTCAGCGCATTTAAAAAACTAACAAACTAAACGCTTACATAATAGCAATAAAAAAATAAAACACATTATGTAAACTTTTTGAAAAGAGAGAGATAGCGAGAATCGAACGTAGTACAGCTACGAGTACATATGTGTATAAAAAAGTTGCAGTTGCGTTTTTTACAGTGTAGAAAAAGTTGGTATTCGTATGCAGAATGTGTGTGTGGATTGTATTTTGTTTTTTTGTTTTATTCTCTTCTTTTTCATTTTTCGTTTTTTGTTTTTAATAATGATGAGACTTTGAGAGTTTTTGTTTAAACTTTTCTATGCTGTCTGCTGTATATATAGTTAAATTACATATGAATTATTTAATTATATATGCATCATACATGATAATTACACACACAATTGATTTAGTTGGCTTAATTTTATGCTATTATTATTATAATTATTATTATAACTTTCTTTTCATAATGAAAATATGGCATATGAGCGTTAAAATTGAAGGATTTTGGGCTCTTCAATGGGTTTTCGATTAACATTTAAACAAATATTGCAGCTAATTTTATGTTGTGTGTATGTGTGTGTATTAGATGTAGGTGTTAACAGTATTTTGTGTGTGAGTGTGTGGTGTAGGCAGGAGTTAGTTGTAAACTTAACAATAATAGACTTTTACTATTGCGTGTTTGTTTTCTTTGTTGTTGTTTATTTTATTTAATATTTATTGTTTTATTCTTCTTATGAATTGTAAAAATGATAAACAATTTAGTCAGAGCGCAATTCGAACGTAAAGCTAAAGCTAAATAAATGCACAATTGTTGCATGCGTTTTATTTTGTTTTCGATTTTGATTTTTAGCCATGGAAGAGGAAGCAGCTGAAGTTAGGTGAAGCGCAGTAGAGAAGTTAAATTTATTGTTTGTTAGGCTGGCGTAACTTAATTAAATTATACAAATTGCTTTTGCTTTTCCTGTCGGTTTCAATTTCCATTTCAATTTCAATAGGTATTTGCCTTGTGTTTTTGTTTATTTAGAAAATAGTAGAAATTTCGTGTTTTATTTTCTCTAGTTGATCTCAGTTTTGAAAATGTTTTTACGCTTCGTTTTCAATTTTTTTTTTGTGTTTTGTTTAATTTCGGTTTTTTTGTTTTTGTTTGTTTCGTTTTTAGGAATTACACTAATAATTACATAGTTATGCTTATGTATAATATGTATATAAACTTAAAAACATTTATGCATCAATTTCCATATTTCAGATGTGCCACGCAGATTATTATTCGGTAATCGGATTTTTCGTTTCTTTTTGCTTTTTATTTCAGTTTTTAATTGTGATTCGATTTCAGTTAAAATTAACATAATTGTTTTGTTTTATTTTCTTTTGTTTTCGACTTTATTATAGTAGAGTGACATCCAATTACATAATTCTGTTTTGTGTATTCAGCTAACATATATGTTTTTGTTTTTGTTTTTTTTTTAATAATCAATATGCACGAAAAGATCTCATTTTCGTTTACATCTATGTAGTTGTGTGTGTGTGTGTGGGTGTATTATAATTATTGTTATTAATTTTTTATTTTTTTTTCTCTACTCATTATATTCATAATTAATTTGCTTAATTTTGCCCGCCCTTATATTGGTTTTTCACTATTCATATATATATATATTTATATAATTTTTTGTTATATTAAATTTCGCATGATTTAATTTGCTTTTATATAGTATCTGATATCTTGTTGTTGTTGCTGTTGTATTACACAATTTGCTTAAAACTTACTTAATTAGAAAAGTTTGCACACACATGCACACACAGACACACACACACGCGTATCGAGCTGTGTGTGTGTACGTGTGTGTATGTGGGTGTGTGTCGCATTTAACTTACAGGTAAGTTTGAAAATTTTCCGAATTTTCTTTTGTTTTTATTTTTGTTTTGTTTTGTTTCTTTTTGTTACCCCTCACGAATAAATTGTGTTGCTCTTAAGAGTTGTTTGTTGTTGTTGTTGTTTTTGTTTGTTTGTTGTTGTGTTAGTTGTTTTGTTGTTGCTGCCGTTCGTTTAAGCAACTGGGAAATTTCGCGCAGTGTATTAAACTGAGCTGAGCTGAGCTGCCGACTAGCCGTATTCAAACCCGTGCCAATTGCTGTTGCCTGACACGCCCACCTCCTGATTCCTGCTGCTGTCGCTGCTGCACCCCGCTCCCCGCCTGGTCCAGTTCAGCTTAATACCTGCGCGTTTGGCCATTATCTCAGGCGTAGAATTCGCGGTTATTCGCATTTTTCGCATAGGAATTGTTAGCGGGCGAACGCTTTGGCTCGTCCAGCGCATAGGATCCCTCGTCCTTTTTCCGCATGCGATACACGATGAACATGACGACCAAAATGGCGCACAGCAGGCCCACCACGGCGCCGCCAATGACAGCTACACAAGAGACAAGCAAACGAGATGACGATTATTATGCGTTCACAGTAAGGCAAAGAAAGTCTTGGCCTATGGCCCACTCACCAGCCAGTATGCCGGGCTGCGCAAAGAAACTTGTCGTGCGATCCTCCTCGCTCATGATTACGACCTCCCCGCTGCCGCCGGGCCTGTGCTCGTTGATCTTCGTGTCTGTGGGCTGGCTGTTTATGTTGGTGTTGGGGTCCAATTCGTGGACGTTGCCGCTGCCGCTGCTGCCACCCGCTGTAAAAAGTCAATATCCATTGAGCACATGTATGTATAGGTATATATATGTATATATGGAGAGTTTATGAGAGTATCAAACGTGCAGAAACACAAATAGTTACGTAGTACATAGAACCAGTGTCCAGTGTGTGTTTGAGTATGTGTAAGTGTGCGTGTGTGTGAGTGTGTGTGAGTCTAGTTTGTGTTAATGAGCTGAGCTATGTGTGTGTGTGTGTGTGAGTGACTATAGATATAAATGCAATATGTACAGGCTTTAAAGTGCTAAGTTAGTTGTTCAGCTGGGCTTCGCTACTCTGATCTGCTGTGGCTATGACAGCTAGCTAGAAATTCAATTTACCAAGCAGTTCACGGCCCCCCTCAACCCTCCCCACGCGCTGCTGCTGCTATAATCAGCCAAACTTTTGTCACAAATTTTTGGCTTATCCTCGAACTCGACTAAACTTGTTTTTCCTGCCAACTATTAATCTCGACTGCTGTTGACCTAGTTGGCAGTTGAAAATCTGCATATTTTAACTCAAATTTCTGGCAGCTTGAAATCTTTGAATGTTTTTGTTTTCTGCTTGCCTGACGCTCGTAAACACCTGAATGCGTAAATTTAATGCCAATTAGCACTTGGTGCAAATGAATTTTAATTAATTTAATTGGCATTTCCTCCCACGCCCAGCACATGTCACGAGCAGGTCAAAAGGCTCCCTTGAAATGAGCTTAAGACAAACAAACAAATAAACAAACAAGCGAACAAGTGAGCAAACTTATTGCTTGTTTAGTCCTTGTATCCTGCTTGCAATGTCAACACAAATACAAACATCATATATGTATATATGTATGCTTATGTCTGTGTGTACAACTAAACGAGGGCTTCTCAATGAGTGACAGATAGAGAGAGAGGCGAAGAGATAGACAGAGAGAGAGCGCACCTTAATTAGAATCTCTGTCTGAAAGTGTGGCTATTGCACTTTAAGCACTTTATTGAACTGGTTTAACTCTAGCTGAAGTATTGGTATTTTCTTATATACATATCTAATCATATATATAGGTAGAGCAGTTTGAATATTAGGTTTGAGTTGTATTTCGACTTGTTATAAGATATGATATCATCTCTAAAAACTTTAGCTGCCCAAACTTGACAGTACTTTCCATGTCTATGTCATATTCGTCTCGTTCTTCCTATCTTCTACTCGACAGAGGCTTGATAAAAGCAAGTTCATTTAAGTCTATTTCTTATCAACTGACATCGAATACATCTACAAACTCCTCCATTTATGACTATATATATGTACAGCATTTAGTCGAGCTGCCTTCGTTTAGGTGCTATTGTTCTTAAGCTTAAATCGTTTGAAATACAATACGCCATATTAATTAGGATCAACAATGCCAGCGGCATTCACATGGCATGGCGGTGGCATGGAAGGGGTAAGCCAGCTCGTTTGCTATAAATAGGAAATTAATGAGTAGACGGACTGAGTATTTTCCTTTGTGCACTTGAAGTTGCGCTCAGGTTGGCTTTGAGCCGTGTGGGAGCTATCAGCCAGGAGACTGGCTGGGGCGCCTCTCAAGATGCGGCTGTAAATAGTATTTGCTTTTGGCTGCGAACTGAAGCCAGCTGCTATTGCTGCTGCTGTCGCTGTTGTTTGGTTGTCTAATGCAAATCAAAAGAGTTGCAGGACTCTTTGACTGTGGCCTGATTGAAAAATGCACTTTGCACAGTCCTCCCTCCCCCTGCGCCCTGTGTGCGTGTGCCTAGCTATATTGATGTGGGCGTGGCCAGAGGCACTGTAAAACGTTGATTGTCAATGCCAAGTAGGAGACACACACCCAGCAGACATCACACAGCACACAGCACAGACAAACAATTGCGCAGACAAAGGCACTAAACGCCAATGCGTCGTATGCGCAACAAACAATGTGGCAACTGCCACACGCCACGCCTCCTACGCCCGCAGAACACCCACCAAACAGTGATTTTTCATGTGAAGTGGCCCTGTGAAGTGTTTTCCACTCGTTGCCAGTGGAAAATCACAGCGCAGCTTAGTGAGTTCCTTCAGAAGTTTGGTGCTGGAGCTGTGTTCAGACAGTAAATCTAATGCTTAGGGACTGTCGGTGCGATTGCGAGTGTGTGCGTGGGCGTGTGTGGGTGTGTGTTAATGGAACTTTACAGCACACAATTGCGAACCGTGTTGTGCGGCTCAAAAAGCCAGCCAAATGGCAGCCGTTGATTGAGTGGCTTTGCTTAAGATAGCGGGGAGGGCAGGAAGCACTGCCAAATCGATTGTTTGTTTGTTTGTTTTTTGTGGACTTATCGGCTCAGAAGACAGCAATAGTCATTAATTAATCCCCAACTTTCAATTTAAAATCCCCAAAAACCCGAACTCCAGCTAAAGCTAAAAAGCCTTTGTTGAACCTTCAGCTAAGTGAAGGCGTGAATGAGGCGAATGATAAGAATGAATTGAATGAAACTAATGTCGAATATAGCTGAAAGTTGTAACTCTGTTTTGGGTATGGTTGGCATGGGAATATAGTATTGGTCGTGTGCGGAGTGTAACCAGAACCGAGACAAGGACGACGCGTAGATCAACGTCGAGGCACAGAGAGAGGCAGATAGAGAGATTGCAGCAGCCGTGATGAGGTCTAAAAACTAAACTCAATTTGTACTTAAACAAGAAAAAACAAACAAAACAATCAAATAAAAGCACCAAATACGATTACAAAATAAATAAACTGCCCACAGGGTTAATATACATAAAATATATATATATATAAATATAAATATATAAAGAGGTGTGCACCATAATAAATAGATAGAAATAAATATATAAAAAGTCAAAATGTGTATGTGAAATTAATTAATTAAGCTACATAAATAATAGGGAATACGGCAAAAGCAATTTGCTAAATAAATAAATCAGCCAACAAAAGCGACAGCAATGCCAACTGCCAATTTAATGCAACGGGACTTTTGCCTCAACGTGTGCGCATTAAATTGGCAAATGCGAAGTCGCTTTTGTTCTGGCAGAAGGTGGCAAAAACTAGTCGCACGCCCGAGGCTGCACTGCAAGAAATTGGTGCAGAGTTTGAAATATTTAACTGCAATTTGCATTAGACTCGAATCGAGTATTGAGCCAATATATACATATATGAATTAGGACTCTTGCACAGACTTTTCTTGCAGAGCACTGGGCAGTCGACTGATTTTTGCTGCCACAACTGAAACATGCCACAGAACGTAAACTTAAAGTAATAGTATAGAAATGTGCAAACGCCGCTCCAGGACAAAGCGCACAGAAAGAAATTGATAGACAATAGCAACAAAGGATAATAACAAAGGATAGTCACCAACACAAGGAAGCACAAACAAAAAGCAAACGCAAGGATAACAAAGTAAAAAGCACAAAAATATAAGAGGGAAACACAGAAAACAAACAAAATAATAATAATAATGGAAGAACCACTGACATCCGCCGGCTCCGTGTGTCACATCCTTGTTGACACTGATCTCCGTGTAGAGTCCGTCATCCTCCTCCTCATCCAAATCGATAGTGCGGTCTTCACCATCGCCATCGTCGTCACCGTCGCTGTTGTGCTGCGGGCCCAGTTTCCGGCGTCCGTTCGAGTCGCTGTTGGACGTGTCCAGATTTGTGTGCTTCGTTTGGGTGATTTCGCTTTCGGGATGTGGATCGATGAGCTGACTGTCTTCATCATCCACATCATCACCGTTGTCATCATCGTCATCACCATCTTCGTCATCATCGAGATCATTGTCATCATTGTCATCGCCGCTGCCCTGCAGCGTATCCTCCTGATCAAAGGCATCGTCCTCATCCTCGCCATCGGGCAGCAACGGCAGCTGCGGCGTGGATTGATTGAATGTCGAACTTGGCGTTGCCAAGGTGGTGCTGGTGGTGGCGATGGTGTGGTTCTTGTTGTTGTCGACCGAATTCGATTGCTGTTCGGTTGATGAATTGATTGAGGGCGGATTGGTGGTGCTGGTGGTTGAGGTTGTGGTGGTGGTGGTGGTTGTGCTAGTGGTAGTTGTTTGTGTTGTTGGTGTGTGAGCTGCTGGATATAAAGATGTGGTTGTTGTTGTGTTTAAATAATTATTAAAGAAATTAAGTTGATTGTTGTCGTTGTTGTTGTTGTTTTCATTGTTGTTGCTGTGGTTGTTGTTGCTGTTGCTGTTGTAATTACTTAAAATTATTGCTGGACTTGTCGAAGTGTTATTGATAAGCGTTGGCTCTGAAAGGGTCGCTATGTTTGAGATGTTCAAATTGGATGAGGGATTGGTAATGATTGTTGTTGCTGTGGTAGTTGTTGGTTTTGTTGTTGTTGTTGTTGTTGTTGTTGTGTTTGTGAATTGATTTTTAAAAGAGGTAGAAGATGTAACGTTGACATTGTCTATGTATGTTGTTAGTCTAGCTTGATCTTTACCGATTGTGCTGATGCCACTACCACTGCTGATGATGCCGTTGTTGTTGTTGTTGTTGTTGCTGTTCGGGTTGTTGTTGTTCTGGTTGTTGAGATTATGATTGCTGTTGGCGTTGGTGCTACTACCAATGATTGTGCCACTATTCGCTGGATGATTGTTAATATTATTATTATTGATATTGAGATTATTAAGATTGTTCTTGCTGTTGATGTCGATTTGATTATGATGGTTGACTCTACTCGAGATGAGATCGTTGTCGTTGTTGTCGTTCGTATTATGCTTACTATTTGTGTTGTCCGCGTTATGTACGCGCGTATTGTGCGAGCTGGAATGATGATCGGTTACGGCGTCCTCGTCATCGGGTCCAAAGCCAGAGCCAGAGTAGTCCGCCTCCTTTTCTAGATCATCGTGTATCTGAAACAATAGAACAAAGGTCCCAAGTTAAATGCTTTCTCAGCTACAACAAATATGCCTTGGCACAGACCAAAAATAAAAAACAAGTTAAGAACTGTTGCTTTTGTCGCCAATTCTCCTTTGGAGCGGACGCTTTTGTGCGGCGCAACAAATGGCAACGATTTGCATTGAAAATTATGCGACTGCTATGTCCTTGACAAGCAGCGGCGCATACAAAGCTTGACTAGTGAGTGCCTGAAGAAGGGCTCGGGTGGGTGGGGCGTGGCACAATGGGGCATACCTACACTGGGGACACATTTATATGGCCATTGTCTGGCATCGGGCCCCAGTTGGTTGACTGTTGCGAATGTTGTGGCTTTCATGCCTTCACTGTGGCTTTTGCGGTTTATTTGGGCAACACAAAATACACACACACACACATACATTCACACAAACAGATACACAATGGCAGAACAAACTGTGACCAATGCCAATTGTCCTGGCTGCAGAGGCTGCTCCACTCGACGCTTGTTTATTTACTTTAATTTTGTCGCCGTTTGCTTTGGCCCATAAAAACAGTACAAGACAAAGGACAAAGGACACACAGTGAGTGGGCGAGGGGCGCAGGACTGAAGGAGTCAGTAGCCTGAAGCAACTTAATTGAATTTGTTCACGCGTTATGAAATGCCAACATGTTTACGTTTATCTTTATAAGTATGTACAATATACGACTGTGGCCGGGACACTTGTTGGCCCGCCCCTCGCCGGCCCACGAGTCACGCCCCCTCGCTACACATTTTGACCATTAAGAAGACGGTTAGTCGCAGCTGCTTAGCCATCAGATGAACGTCGGATTCCTGCCTTCAACCACAACAATATTATTTTACCTTCTGCTCAAGTGTTGACCTTTTGCAAAAACAGCATTATCATTATCATCATCATCAGCATCATAATCATCATTATAATGGCAATGGCAAAATTAAAGAATTTTCTTTGTCTAAAATTCTTGCTCAAGCCAACTTTGCTAACAAATGTGCAGCGGCGCCTGAAATATTTCTAATTTCTGCGTCGGCATTCAATTATCGCGTGTCCCCATTTATCTTGCTGTAGCTCTGCTGCGTAAGATAAACCCGGTTCTATTTACTTTTGCCATAAATCAGTTTTAGCCTTAAATTATGAACTTTGCGACGCATTCGGCACTTAATTGAGATTTAATGGGCTCTTTGCTACTGAATTGCTCGAGCTGTGTGTATCTAATTGCTGTGCAATGCTTAGTCCAATGTTAGAAATTATTTAAAAAAAAAAAAGAATTTTTAGCTGCGAAAATAGCACCAGTCAGGCAAGCAACTTGTGCAGTTATTTCAGGTTATATTTGTAGGTTTAAGCAACTCATGATTATGTTTGCAGCTTAATAAGACCATTAACTACATTGACAAGGAAAATTCACAAATTTCCTGCAAGTTTTCTTTGTATACAAATTATCATAGTGGTGCTATTATTTCTTTCTGCCTGCATCTGACTCGATATAATCTTGCTTTAGGCCTTACTATAGCATTTAGCATTCGTCTTCCTGTTTTTTCTTAGCAAAGTCCCAAATTTTATATTGATTTCACACACTTTTGGATATGGCTAAAAAAGTTGACAAAATATTTCCCTTCGTTGGCAGCTTTGCTCAAATATGCAAAAGTGTGGCATGCCACATGCAAATTGAAAATCTTTTGTCTAATTTAATATTTGCTGAATAATTACGAAAAGCAGCGTGCGCGTCTAATGGGGCATGTGAGAGGGCTTAGCTAAATGCAGCTTCCTAATTTGTGTGCCATGAATAAAACATTAGAGTTAAACTCCGGCCGTATATTGCTACGGAAACACGCGGCATTTAATTAAATATAATTTTATTTTTAGATAGCAGTTGGGCGCTGATGAAAGTTAAGCGCGTGTTTTTGTAATTTATTTTGCACACATTCGCACACACACACTTCCATTAGAGACAAATTGAAAGCATACAAGCCGCCGGCTCAACAACTTTGGCGAGCAAAAACAACAACAAACACAATACAAATTTTACATTAAATGCGCTTATGTCGAAAATTTGTTTTTCATGTTTGGTTTTTATGTTTGGTTTTTTTCTCTCGTGTTTCATTTGTTTTTTCTTCGTTTGCGCTGCGCAATTTAATTAAAAAATTTACGGCGCTTGGAAAAATTGTATTATTGCGTATACGCACTGCGGGCCGCCATTTTTATGGGAGCTCATAAATTCTCGTATGTGTGCGCGTGTGCTTGTGTGTGTGTGTGTGTGTGAACATTTGCTGCATTCGCGCATTTGTATACACAAATCATTTGGTCAAAAGTGGCTCATAAAGTATAACAAAATGTTAGCCTGTTTTTTGTTTCTATTTCGTTTTTTGCTTTGTGCTGTTTTTTATTTTTGGCCAACTGTATCGCATGTGGACTCTGCCCTATAGCCTTGCTCCGTGCTGCCTGCTGCCTGCTCCTTAGCTGGCTGCACAGTTTATTTAAAACGTTTTTCAAACGCCATTTTAGCTAGCTGCCCCAGTCGGAGCCCCGGGAGCTGCAGCCCCAGCTTCTGGCTGTTGGCAGTTTTGCCTCGCTTCGGGCCTGGCCACAATTCTTTGTCGCTTTTTTCCGCTTGATTTATGCAGCAATTAGTAGCGAGGCGTGGCTAGTGGGCGTGCCATGGCCTTTGTTATTTGGTGCTGCTGCTGCGCTTATAGTCGAGCTGTTGCTCACGTGGCTGTTGCAAGTTTAATTGCCCTGTTGCCGCCTCGCTGCTGTTTGGGCCACATTTGTTGCCTACTTTTCAGCGCGGCCTCCAAAATGAACTCTCGATGCAGGCGGCAGGTCTGGCAAATTGCACTTTCATAGTTGCGGTTTACGCTTACTTAGGCGGCAGCCTTTTGGCCATGGCTCTTGGCTCTTGGCCGTTGGCTGCTGGCCTCATTAAACATGGCCCGAAAACTTATCCGCGATCGATAGACTCTGCTCACAGCAACTGCAGCGGCAACTGTGAATTTTATGCAATAAATTGCTTTGTTAATAAAACATGAGCAGTGGGCGTGGCAGGCGGCGGCTGGATGCTGCAATGTGGGTCATACATGAATTTAAATGATGTCATTTGAACGTGCCACCTGCAACAGCAGCAGCAGCAGTTGGGGCAGTGGCAGTGGCAGCAAAAGGCAGCAGCAGCAGCTGCTATTTTCAGTTCACTTAATGGCGCTGACTTTAATATTTTTCGCATTAAATTTGCATTTGCTGTACTGCAAATTCCAGCTGCAACATTTGCAGCAGCTGCCGCCGCTGCTGCTGCTGCTGCTGCTACTGCTACTGTTGCTGCTGGCTGGCCAACGTGGCGTATGCTTGACACCGTTTGTGATATATGAGCGCAACCCACTCGACTCAACTCGACTCTACTCGACTCCCCTGGCAAATATGAAATATGCAAATGCTCACATAAAAGCGCTTTGCACAAAGTTAATATCGAGCAGCTAAAATGTTTTAAGAGTTTCCCTCTTCGAAGTTCAATTTGAAGTTGCACCGAAAGCTAAACTTTGCAACTGAAGCGCAAAACTGCAAATCAAATTTGTGAAGCAGAACAACAAAAAATACAACGAAATTCTTTGGCTTAATGAAAACAACGAACAACGAGCAACGAGCAGAAAAGTAACTAAAAAATAAATAAAAATAAGAAAAGAAAAACGTTAACAAAAAGTGCGCAAAGAAACGGGCAACAACCTTCAAGCGTAATGAGCGCGGAAAACTATGTCAGCTCGGATGATGTGCAGCATTGATGCAGTACGCGATGGGAGGAGGGAAGGGCATGGCCTTATGCATAAACAACAAGTTGCAGCGCAGCCCAAATAAAAAAAGAAATAATAAAAGCAAGAGAACACATAAAAATAAAAAAGGATATCATAAACTTGGCCAAGATGCGCCAGAGGCTGAGCATGCTTCATACACAGCGCTGTAAAGTAGTTTTATATTGAACGCAGCAGCTTTAAAACTATTTTATGTACATAGAAGTTCTTTAACGGAAGCGAAGGTTTTCAATTATGCATGAATGTCTGCAGCTTGGAAATGGGTGTAGAAAGATTCTAAAAGAATTTTTCATAATGAGCAACATTGAGCAGCGTGAGAGTCACGAGTGGATACGATGCAGACTCAGAACTCTAGAATATGAATGATATTTGTCTTTCAATTTAATTCATAATCTATTCGTAGTCAATCAAGCTAAAGGGAGGCATTTAGATAGCTGAATATATATGAACTGTTGCAGAAATAATTTGCTTTTCAATTTTCTCACAACATGAGAAGGAATTTGGCTTAAACGATGCTCTTTTCTTGTTAGAAGAGAACCAAAAGAATTACGAAAAAATTCCATTGCATTTGGTCTTTGGACTTAGAATAAGTATTAGCTCTTTTGTTAGTTATTTTTCTCTTCTAATATCCACTGCTATTTATATAAAATATTAAATCAATTAAACTAAATCAATAATATTCATTTCAAAATTCTTTTCAAACTATTGTGTCGCTAAATTGAGTTGTTCAACATTTGTTGCACAGTCGCACTGCTATTTTTATGAACACACCTTTATATAACTGCTGCATTAACAAGTCTACAATACGCTTGGAATTCATTTACAATTCTAAATTACCAACTGGCAAGTGAGATAGGCAAATACGCAATGCAATCATAATTTGTTTGATAAGCTCATGAATTTTTGAAAATGTGCTTAATGAAGTTTTGGAGTTGAGCTGCAGATAAAAGGTGTATTGAGAAGCAACGTAAAGTTGTTCGCCTTGGGGCTTGGCAAACGTTGCCAAGTACTTGGCACTTGTCATGTGCACAGCTAGCAGTTCCCCAGTGCCTAGCTTCAGCCAGCTCCACCCTGGGCCAAAGGACAAGTTGTTTTCCTGCATAATTAATGCAGGCGAAATTCAATTTTGAGTTGCTGCCATTTCTGTATTTTGTTGCTCATGTGGAGGGGTCTTCGCACGCAGCACCCTAAAATTTGTTGCCCTTGTTACCCACTAGGCTAGGCGCGTGTTGCCTCCAGCCTACCCTCTGCTAAGGAGAAAAGATTTAGGGAAATAAATTGAGGTTAAGCAGAAGACGATTTCAATTGCGACTGTTTCGTCTGTGCCTAGCTTCGGGTCCTTTTCTGTGTTCTCTGCTCTTTGTTGTTGTTTGAACGCACAAAAATGCTGTACAGAAGTTTTTATGAAAAGTTTTTTGGTTGTCAGTGGCCAGTTGCCAGTTGCCAGCGGTTGGTTGGTTGCCACTGGTCTGTTGCAAGTTAGCCCAGTTGCGGCGCGGCACGCTTATGGAGTAAATTGTTGCTTTGACCAGCAGTTGGCATTGTATGTTAGTTGTTGTCGCTGTTGTTGCAACAGTTGCTCGCTTGCTCAGTTTGTTTGTGCAACACACATGCATTCGCTGCAACAAGCGAATTTTCACATATTCTTCCTCTTCTTTTTTATCTCCCTTCTGCAAGCACTCCAAGTGCCCAGTGTTTGTTGTTGTGCAGGAAATGTTCGAAAAAAGTTTTCTGCATTTTGTACAGTTTTGCAAATGTGGTTGGTAAACGTCCCTGCCGAACTGGACGGGACGGTACGGTCAGCATCCTGGCTAACCGCAAGCTGCTGCTGTGCGTTGGTCGCCTTTTGAATTTGGCATTTACTGCATTTGGGCCGTTCAATTATAGCTGAAGCTTCGAGCTAGTTGCCAGTTGCCAGTTGCCAGTTGGCCATCAAATTCTAATTTATTTACATGCAGCTCGAGCTCAGTTGCAGCAGCTGCAAACGCATTTGTGGCAAGGATAGCTGAGCTCTTATTTGCTTGCCCCCACACGCTTCCACTTAGGCTGGCTCAGAGTTCGGTACGGTTCAGTTCAGTTGTTGGCCCAGTTAACATTTCTTTTAGCCCCCTTTATACATTTTTTCTTATCCTTTTTCTCCTTTTTTTTTGCCATCTCTTATTCGTTTTCCCAATTGCCCATTTACATTTAGATTGAGGCGTAATGCAATCAAATGACCAGCACAAATATCATGTATGTCTAGCTGGATATATATATATATAGATATCTGTATGTGTGTATATGTATGTCTATATATGGCTAACCCATTTCTATGGCCGTTTTTGGACAGCCTCATTTGGCTTACATTAAATTTGCATTATGGCCCACCTCTCCGACTGCTCTATGCAAATAATTGCTTTCTAAATGCGCGCAGTAAATTGAAAAAGTTTTGGGCCAAGCTGCGAGCCAAGAATTGCACCTAAATATCAGTTGCATGTTAAGAGTTGGCCAAGTTGTGTGTTTTTTTGTTATTTCCCCTCTCAATCCCTCCCTCTCTTGTTACATTTGGGGCCAGCTATAGAAAACTTTTACTTTTCCTGCTCCACTTGCGATAACAATGTGTGTTCTGTTGTTGTGGCAAGCCTTTGTTGTTGCGGCCTTGCAACTGCAACAGTTGCTTGCATAATTCAAGCGCACTCTATGCAACGTGCTAGTAGAATTCTGCTAGTCTATTCTGCGTATACGTAATATTTTAGTAACAGACTTTATGCACTTCTTTCTCACGTTTTTCCATCAATTATATTTTTAGAAATATCTTTTAAGTCATTTTTAATTTGGCATAAGTTTTTTATTTGAAATTGTGCTAGAAAATGATTTCGTATTTCTAACACAAATTTTTGGTGTATATAAAAAACTATGCTGTAGCAGATGCTACTGCTTTTTGTTTCTATTATATTATGGACTTAGCTAAACAAAAAGAACAACAAGAAGGAATTCGTAATGAACCGCATTCTTGAAAATAAAAAAATTTGTTAAAAAGAAATGTGGGAATTGTACTGAATTTTAAGCAGATCTGCGAACCTTTTGAATTGAAACAAAGTAAAACCTTGAAGCTGTGAAATACAAAATATTTAAAGCTTTTATTCCGCATGCCACAAATTCGTTTGCCGTTTTCAATGGCTGATGAATGTATATATATACATATATATATATAAGTACATATATAAGTATGTATATATTTATTTATATGAGTCGTTAGATGAATATCTAAGCATCCTAGTGCTGCTGTTGCGACATGATAATTTAAAGTTGAAGTCTTAGTCCAAGTCTATGGCAGAGTACTCTGAACTGAAAGAACCTAAGGATGGGCATGCGAATATGCAAATTTCTTGTTTTATAGTTATTTCCTCAGACATTTATAAATAATTATAATAATTATTTGCTGGGTATTCTTCTAGTCGGCTGTTGAGCCAAGGCAACGCGTTTACTTAACAAAGTTCCTTGGCTGCTGCTGGCAGTTGTTGTTGCTGTTGTCATAGTTGTTGCCAAAGTTGTTGTTGTCATTGTTGCTGTTGCCACTGTTGTGCATTGGCATAATTTGGCACTTAATTGGCAGTTTGTTGCCTTTGCCTGTGTCTTTGCCTGTGCATTTGCATTGCCCGCTCGCCCAGTTGTTGTGCCCGCTCCGGATTTCAGGGTCTGGCCGTGCGCACTCTGGGCACATTTATCAAGCTCAAGCCACGCTGTCAGCGTACAGGAGTCTCGTTTCCCCTGTTCTTTTTCTCTTCTCGCCTGGCTGTGCTCTGTCGTTTCTGTTTATTGTATTATTGTGTTCGGTTTGCTTACTTCTGTTGCTCGGGGCACGCACACGGGCAGCAGTGCATTATGTATGCGTATTTTGCTTGATTATTTTTATTTTTGGCGCGCGCACGTCAGCCGGAAAACGGAAATACGCAAATTTGCGCATTCAATGCATATTCTTTCTCTTTTACGTACAACTTCTCTTATCACGTTCAGCTTTTGGTTACGGCTTGGCTTATTGCTGATGAGCTGCCGAGTTGATTTATCTACCCAGTCTCACGCTCTTTCTGTCCTCTTTTAGTGTGTTGTTTGTCTGCTGGAATTTGGTCTATGGTCAAGTCTTGAAATTTGCGGCTTTAATCGCTCGTTTTGAGCTTTTAATGCGCTTTTCGTGTTGCTTTACCCAATTTTCGTTCAACGTGAGCTCTAGACACAGATTTGTTGCCTACACTTCGCCCGCCACGTCTCTGCACAGTTCACCAAGAACAACAACGAAAATTGCCAACGCAGCATTCACATCATAATGAGCATCATTATCGCCATCATCATCATCATTTGCTTTGCGTTGCTTTGCTTTTGGTTGGTTTGCTGCTCATCAGTGAACAGAAAATCAATAACCGCACCCAGGAACAGGCGTCGCCTTGTTTGTTGTTATTTTATTCTTTTTTTTTTTTCATTTTTTGTTATATTTTTTTTTGTTTTGCCCATTGCCCATTTCGTTGCAGCTCTATCTCGCTCGCACTTATTAAAAGACTGTCAGTTATGTTTTGTATGCGTCGCATCGCATTAGGCAAAAGCAAATTATGAGCACAAATAGCAAAAGCTCCCAAGCAGATAACAACACAGCAGCCAAGGCAAACACATTCCACTCCTTCCACACACAGTCCACAACTCAGAGCTGCTAACATTTTTAAGACAGCGCCTAAAAGTATGCCGCGCTTTAAATGCAAACGGCGCATAAAATGCAATTTATGTGGCGCATTCAACTCCTTAGCTCAGCGCTAATTGAGGCAGCAGCTGCGGCTGTTGCTGTTGCTGTTGCTGTTACGATATCTGCTGCTCGCATAATTAATCCGCTTTAGGGTCAGGCAACTCAACCCTTAACCACAGGGCATAAAAAATAGGATTAGGACTAGCCAGTCCGGTACCCCTTTAGTAATTTACACGCTGCTAATCAAAAATGATCAAAGGCGACAAAGTTTGTGGTTAACTTTAATCGATAAATGTTGCAAAACTGAGCTAAAACCTCTCTCTTGTCCAATCCCTTACTCCCTCTTCATTTAAAGGAAATTTGCATGCACTGTCAAGCGCTTGCCATAGAGGGTGAGCACTTGGAACACTTTGCAGCTAATAAGACAACGTTTTTATTGGACTCCCCTGATGAGCTAAGCTAAGCAAGCAATAAAGTTGCCAGCTTAGCAGCGGTCTCCTTGGAGATGCTCCCTTTTACCGGCTGAGAAGACAGCGACTTGCCGCATGTTAAAGCTGCTGTTGCATTTTAATTGCGGCACCAGAGACGCGACTTAATGTTTGCTGCTGTTGCAGCAAGTGAACCGAAAGCAGCCAAAGGAAACCTGACACACCCACATACCCACACACCCACCCACCCACACGCACACATGCATACAGAGGAACTTGCACGTGTGCAAAGAAGAAGAACTTGGCAACTTGACTGCCATAGCACATCATTAAAATTTTAATGCACTCCCCTCTTTTCTTTATTCATTCCCTTCGACCACGCTGTGACAATGCATGGGGCGTGGCTCTGCCAGCTGCTCAGTCAGCTGCAAACTCATAGAAATGTTTCGTTGAACGCAAGGCTACGATAGAGCGTCTTTCTCCCTCTGGTACAGCTGATCGACTGTGAGATGAGCTGTACATAATAGCAGATAGAAGCTGCCATGCAATGAGCGGACTTTTCAGGGACACACTGTGCACAGGTAAAAGACATGTAAGTTCGAGGGATAAGACGGGTAAATTTAATTAAAGAGCATCTATCTATTCTTTTAGCTTTTATAGTTTAGGGACCTGTCTGGCAGCAACATATAATTTTTAAGTGTTTAGATGAGTTATAGTTTTCTAGAAACATATCTTACAACAATAGTCATTTCTTCTGTGATTTACCTATATTTTGATATTATATATTTCATAATTTTATAGATTTCACTAATTCTTCAGACTGCCGTGACTACTCCAGGAATGGCTCCAATATAACAGAGATATACGTATTAAGGCAATTGTGTATAGCATATGTATTAATTAATAAAAAAGTATATTAATAAAAATTATTTTAAAAAAACGTGTTTTTTTGTTTAAAACTCAGCCGAAATACCAGGCGAGCAGAATTGATCAACAGGTAGCTAAAAATCTGCGAACTAAAAATTTCGTTGCATACCCGAAAGGGGCCACAATTTTCTGCCGACTGGGTGCAAAAATTGAGCGAAAACTCGGCTCAAGCACCAGGCGAACAGAAATCAGTAGAAAGTAGACAAAAACCTGGCGAATTAAAATTTCATTGCATATCCAAAAGGGGCAACTTTTGGCGGTGCTTCGTTGGCGGATACTGTCCGAAAATTCGGTTGAAATAGCAGGCGAACAGAAATCAGCAGCAAGAAACCAAAAATTAAAAAATTTTAAAAAATATTGTTGCATACTTTGAAGGCAACTGTTAAGTTGCTGTTAACTAACATGTCTATATATAACAGAACATAATCTAAGCTGGGAAGGGGCATTCGTCTTGTTTGACCTTTCTCTTTGCCTTTTCTCAAAGTTTGCATCATTTTACATTGTTCTATTAGCAATTGCCCTTGTGCAAATATATATAATTAAGTTGAAACTAGCTTTTAGAGCAACCTTTGGCATATTAAACTAAAATAACTTTGCTGCCTGCCACTAACTTTGTTGACTACCCCAGTTGGGGCCGAGTTCTCAAGCCTAATTGAAGGCAATGTTAAGGTGGGTAACATGCACAGCAGGCAACATGAATGCTCATTAGTAGAGCAGCGCATTAAATTAAACCAACAATCATACAAATGAGCACATCGACGCCCCCCAATTGTGGCAGCAGGCTATTGAAATCTGCATAATTAAAATCGAAATTGGTATCGATGCAACAAATATAGCACACACACACGCGCGCACACACGCGCGCACACAAACACACAAATTTGCATTTATCATCATTTATTGAAGCAAATATTTTGACAGCGAATTGTTTGACTGATGAATGAGAGCCACATTGTTGTGGCTGCCATCAATATATATCGCATATATATATATATATATTTGTGCATATCATAAATCAATCTGTGTGTGCTATGCGAAAGCAGCTTAAATCAATGGTCTCGCATTCTGCTTTGGTTGCACTTGGTCCATGCTCAGCGTTTGCATTTGAATAGAATGTGCCTTGGAGTGGCACAGCAGCGGCTTTTCTTTAGCTCCGGCTTTGGCTTTGGCTTTGGCTTCTGTTGCAGGTGCATAGCCCATGCAATCAACGCTCGCTGCACGTATGCAACAAATGTAATTAACTTGCAAGACACAGCAACATTTTGTGGCATGTTGCAGCTGGGTGAACGCAGCTGAATTATTCATGGGGCATTAAGACAAGTTGCTTGACCCAGCTGCAGCAAAGCGAATCCTTTAAGGCTGCAGCTAGGTTCAACAAACTGCGTCACGTTGCGCCTAAAAGCATGCAACACACACACACACACAGGGACACTTAAGTGTGCGGTTACAAGTCAAATTGCAACGTGGCAACGCTGACAGAACGACAAATGACAGTTAAAAGCAAAAGAAATAAGAATTTTCCACTGCCTGAGAAATAGGCGCCCAGGGAAAGGAAGTGAGTCCTTTGGGGCAAGACTTGGCTGCTTCGAGCAAAGGAAGCAAGCGCCAGCCGAGACTAACGAGCGGCTGTCCAAAGTGTGTGCCTGAGAGAGCGTCAAGAATGCCGAGATGGCAGCAATAGATGAACAACCCTGTGTTACCCTATGCTGCAAGCTAAACTGGATTTATTTCTGCTTATAAATTAATTAGACTATATAAATATATATTTAAAATTTTTTAAAATATATTTATTATATTAATATGAACTTAATTATCTTTATGAATTTTTTAATATTTAAATATTTAAATTTGCAGGGTATGCAGCAAATGACTAGGCGTAGTGCATCAACATTTTAAGCGTAAGATTTTGAGTTTAAAATTGAATTGTTCTACTGCTTACGCTGTAATTCGATAAGTTGGCAAACATTTAGCTGGCCAAAGCGTTCGGGTCTACCAGAAATGGGCTTACAAATGTAAGCCAGAAACAAATTATCACCGTTTCAGCTTGCAGCTCAAGTCAACTTTACCTTGAAGTTTGATTCGTTAACTTTTAGTTTTTCGCATCACTGAACAATTTATAATTGACTTTACTAGAAATAAAAAAAATTCTGACCTAGCGCGTTAAGTTTCACATTCCACTGACAGATTCAGGTTAACATTTTGAGTTTCGCTCAAATTTTATAATTAAGTCTAGTTCGTTGGATTTTCATCTGAATGAGAGCTGCAATATTTTGCTCATATTTTATTTACAGGTTACACATTTATTTAAAATCTATGGAAAACATAGTTTATTTATTGATTGAAAATAAATCCAAAGTGAAATAAATAATAGAAAAATAATTATGTTAAGCTGGCATTCAATGTAAATATATTTATTTAGATTCTCTTTCGTATCTATTCAATTTCATTTTAGAGCTTTGCAAACAAGCATTCAAAATAAAATATAATCAAGCTGCTCTTCGAATGAAAACTCTGTATATAAATATATATATATATTGATTGAATCTAAGAAAAACTTGTTTGGCAAGTGGAATCAGCAGCAGCAGCAAAATTGGGATTAAAATGCTGTAACAATACTGTCGGAATTTGAAGTTTTAAATTGTTGCAGCGATGGAAGTGGCTGGGTCTGTGCCACGACCGAAGTTGAGCTTTGGATTCGAGCAGCCAACTGAACGGCACTTGCATTAAGCCCAATTGAAGTCGAAGTCAAAGTCAGAGTTGCTGTCAGCTCGTCAATAGCGTCAGTCATCGCTCTCCCTGCCTCCCTCCCTTCCACCCTTGCTGTCTAGCTCTCTTGGAGAGTTACCTGCTTTGCTGGCTGACTGCATGGCTGCCCGACTGCCTGTCGTCCTGGCATTAGCAATTCAAAACGTTGTCGGCCTTTCGAGTGCAGACGCAATTTGAGTTTTGGGCTTCAAGAGCTTTGCAGAGAGAGCTGGAAAATGTTGCACTAATTGAAGTGTCGGCCGCATCAATGCGCTTATGCAACAAGGGACATAAACAGTGCCACGTTTGTTTTTAATTAAGCCGTCAATAGCCAGAGCTGCAAATCAAATTTCACGCTAATCGCTAACATTAAGCAGCCACATCAAAGCGCTTCCAAAATCAATTATTCAGTGTGTGACGTGGGTACGAGATGGATGTGGCCGTCGTGCTACCAAAATCAAATTAAAGCTGCTTATGGCTGACTGTCTGCGCCAGAGTCTGGCTGTGTCTCTGCCATTTTATGGCACACTTCGCAGCAACAAATTGTCGTAAAGTTAAGCGAATTTATTGCCATAAATTATGCAGCAGCAAAGGCCCCTGAAGGAAACCGAGCTGTAGTAACGGGCACAAAACAATGCGCATAAAAAACAGAAACAACAACACGAACAAAATGGCGACGCCGACAACAAGGCGCAACTCCAACAACTTTGACAATGACTTTTCGTTTGACTTCAAAAATGATATGGCAACTGTTGTTGTTATTGTTGTTGTTGTTGTTGCTGCTGGTGTAGCAATTCGTGGCCTTGTTGTTGTATCTTTAATTCAATCTGCATGCTTGTCGCAAACATCTCATTCTCTCAGTGTTTTGCGGCTGTGGCATAACAGGGCGTATGCGCAATATGCCACAGCACACGACATGACCAAGCATCAACAACACAGCCAGCTGCTAGGACACAGACCCAGCGAGCAAGAAGCAAAAAAAAAAAAAGAAATAGAATTCGGTTTGTTAATGTTATCACTGGCTGTGTGCAGCCTAATTTGGATTAGTCTCTGAACACATGTGGGTGTGTGGGTGTGTGTGTTGTGTGTGTGGGAATTAGGCTTGTGATATAATGCAGCTAAGCAAAGCGGATGACAGAGAGAGAGAGAGAGAGAGAGAGGGAGAGGCAGAGGTCTTAGCAGAGAAAGGACAGTGAGTAATGAATGCAGGCAGACAGACAGCTTTATACGTAGTCTAGATCAACAAATATCTCGCTGGGGCATTACATCACAAATAAAGAATACTCTCAATGACTAAGCGACTAGCAGACATCCTGTAAAAAGATAGCAGATATCCTGTAAAAAAGGCAGCAAGCAGATTTCTCTATTTGGTAGCAAATCTTTTCTACAAAAACTAATGTTAAATGCTCTCAACTATATCGCCACTTTTTGTATTGCTTACCATTTTTAACTGTATAGGGTATTTATAAAAAGTCAACACACTCACAGCCACACGCACACATACAGACACTAAGCTGGCTAACATATGCTTGAGGGAAGGCGTGGCACAAACTCATTTCCATTTTGTTGAGCCTGCGTTGGTTAACATTACAATCACAATAAATTTCAATGTCTATCGAATGTAGAGCTTCTAAAACGCCAGCTCGAGACTGGGTGAGTGTGTGTGTGTGAGTGTGTGTGTGCCATGCATTATGTATTATGTGCGCTGTCAACAATAAATTCCCATGTAAGCAAGTGATATTGACAGCACGAGTAGAAGAGCGAACGACAACTCTGAAAATTATATGCACGTACTTAAAAGCAGGAGCTGCCTGTCGCAACAACAACAACAACAACAACAACAGCAGCACAACAGGATACAGGATTCATAGCATTTACAGGATTCAACACCGAGAGGCGACTATTCACACCGGCCATACAAAACAGATGCCCGCTGTTTACATAAACACATTGCCGCACACACACACACACTAGATGTGCGCGAGTGTGTGTGTGTATAGGTAATGGTTAGAGTATGCTGCATACTTCTGGTCAGCTGTATACAGTTTGCACACTGAGAGAAATGAGGCATATGTGACTGCAATAGATTGGGACGTAGGCCAAAGCGGGTAGAAACGAGAAGAAAAGGAAGTATAAATTGAAATATTATTGAAATATTTTATTGAACAAATTTTATTGAAC